TCCTTAAGGCAGCCCTACTCATTGCGTGTAAGGACCCTAGCTCAGAAAATGGGCGTGCCACTTCTCTCAACACCATCTGGCAGCCTTCACTGCAAATCTCCCACCGTGGTAATGGCAACTCATACACTGTGATGATGGACCTTTTGCATGTGAGGCGGATGCTCTAATCACTGCGCCATCGCCGCACACTTGATCTAACCACTACGCCATCGCCGCACACCATCAAGTGTGCGGCGATGGCGTAGTGGTTAGAGCATCCGCCTCGCATACAAAAGGTCCGTGGTTCAAATCCCGGTGCTGCGCAGCTCCCAACTGGATAAAAAAAAAATCCACGTGGTGGAGCTGCATTAAGAGGCCTGGGGTGCAGCCTCACTGGTAACCACCGCCGGGAACGCACTCCCTCACCAGAGAAGGATTGGCCACCCTGGTGCAGCATCTGGCCACTACCTCCCACATGCATACCTCAAATAACTCACGGCCCTCAGTTCCCAGCAGCTGTAAAGCAACTGACCACAGCGGCGGTCAGATCTGCAACGCAGCAGGGGGTGCTAAGAATCTCTTGATCAGGACACGCCGCCATTGGAACCTGAACTTGGCAACGTTTAACGCTAGAACCTTATCTATTGAGGGAAGTCTAGCTGTACTATTCGAGGAGATAGAGGGTGTTAAATGGGATATAATAGGGCTCAGTGAGGTTAGGAGGATAGATGAGGCCTATACGGTACTACAGAATGGGCACGTCCTTTGCTATCGGGGCTTGGCAGACAGAAGAGAGCTGGGAGGGGGGCTCCTAATTCACAGAAACATAGCTGGCAACATAGAGGAATACTATAGCATTAATGAAAGGGTGGTAGGTATCGTAATTAAACTGAATAAAAGATGCAAGATGAAGGTGGTACAGGCTTGCGCGCCTACATCCAGCCATGATGACTCTTCAGTTGAAAGCTTCTATGAAGACGTGGAATCGGCAATGAGTAAGGTAAAAACACAGTATACTATAGTGATAGGCGACTTTAATGCAAAGGTAGGGAAGAAGCAGGCTGGAGACCAGGCAGTAGGAGATTATGGCATCGGTACTAGAAACGCCAGAGGAGAACTACTAGTAGAATTCGCAGAACGCAATAATTTATGGATTTTGAATACCTTCTACCGAAAACGAGGAAACCACAAGGTGACATGGAGGAGCCCTAATGGCGAAAATAAGAACGAAATAGACTTTATAATGAGTGCACACCCAGGAATCGTGCAGGATGTGGAAGTGGTAGCAAGGTACGATGCAGTGACCATAGAATGGTACGGTCTCGAATTCGCCTAGACTTGAAGAAGGAACGACAGAAACTGATACGCAAGAAGCTAATCAATGAGCTAGCACTGAGAGGGAAAGTACAGGAATTAAGAGTGTCACTTCAGAACAGGTACTCGGCTCTTAGTGAGGAAACCAACCTTAGCGTAAATACAATGAATGATAATCTGACGAGTATCATTATGGAGTGTGCAGTGGAAGTTGGAGGCAGGGTAGTTAGACAGGACACTGGCAAGCTTTCTTAGGAAACGAAGAATATAATTAAGAAGCGTCAAATCATGAAAGTCTCAAGTGCAACAGACAAAATAGAACTGGCAGAGGTTTCGCAGTTGATTAATAGGCATAAGGTATGCGATGTAATAAGGTATAACATGGAGGGAATTGAACACGCTCTAAAAAATGGAGGAAGCGTCAAAGCAGTAAAGAGAAAACTTGGGATAGGCAAAAATTGTATGTATGCACTAAGGGAAAAACAAGGCAAAATAAGTACCAATATGAATAGGATAGTTAAAATAGCGGAGGAGTTTTACAGAGATCTGTACAGTAGCCGGGACAACCACGACCTTAATACTATGAGAACTAGCAGTAACCCAGATGACACCCCACCAGTAATGATAGAAGAAGTCAAAAAAGCTTTGGAGAGCATGCAAAGAGGCAAAGCTGCTGGTGAGGATCAGGTAACATCACATCTGCTGAAAGATGGAGGACAGATTGTGTTAGAAAAACTAGCCACCCTGTTTACGAGGTGTCTCCTGACGGGAAGAGTACCAAAGTCTTGGAAGAACGCTAAATCATCTTAATACATAAGAAAGGAGATGACAAGGACTTGAAAAATTACAGGCCGATCGGCTTGCTCTCTGTAGTATACAAGCTATTTACAAAGGTAATTGCTAACAGAGTAAAGAAAACATTAGAATTCAATCAACCAAAGGAACAAGCAGGATTTTGAACAGGCTACTCAACAATTAACCACATTCATACTATCAATCAGGTAATAGAGTAATGCTCAGAATATAGCCAACCACTATACATAGCCTTCATAGATTACGAGAAGGCATTTGATTCAGCAGAAATATCAGCCGTCATGCAGACACTGCGGAATCAGGGGGTAAATGAAGTATATATTAACATTCTGGAATAAATCTACAGGGGATCAACTGCTACCATAGTGCTTCATAAAGAAAGCAACAGAATACCAATCAAGAAGGGTGTAAGGCAGGGGGACACAATCTCCCCAATGCTATCTTCCACGTGCTTACAGGAGGTTTTCAGAAGCCTAGAATGGGAACAGTTAGGGACAAGAGTATCATAGTAACCTGCGCTTCGCCGATGACATTGCATTGCTGAGTAACTCAGGGGACGAATTGCAACTCATGATTACGGAGTTAGACAAGGAGAGCAGAAAGGTGGGTCTTAAAGTTAATCTGCAGAAAACGAAAGTAACGAACAACAACCTCGGAAAAGAGCAGCGCTTCGAGATAAGTAATAGTGCACTTAAAGTTGTAAAAGACTATGTCTACTTAGGGCAGGTAATAACCGCAGAGCCGAACCATGAGATTGAAGTAACTAGAAGAATAAAAATGGGGTGGAGCACATTCGGCAAACACTCTCAAATTATGACAGTTAGATTGCCCCTATCCCTCAAGGGGAAGGTATATAACAGCTGTATCTTGCCGGTACTTAGCTACGGAGCAGAAACCTGGAGACTTACAAAGAGGGTTCAGCTTAATTGGACGACGCAGCGAGCATTGGAAAGAAAAATGGTAGGTGTAACCTTAAGAGACATGAGGAGAGCAGAGTGGATTAGGGCACAAACGGGGGTTAAGGATATCATAGTTGAAATAAAGAAGAGGAAATGGACATGGGCCAGGCATGTAGCGCGTAGACAGGATAACCGCTGGTCATTAAGGGTAACTAACTGGATTCCAAGAGAAGGCAAGCGGGTTAGGGGGTGACAGAAGGTTAGGTGGGCAGATGAGATTAAGAAGTTTTTGGGTATAAATTGGCAGCAGCAAGCACAGGACCGGGTTATTTGGTGGAACATGGGAGAGGTCTTTGTCCTGCAGCGGACGTAGTCATGCTGATGATGATGACACTGTGATGTTTTCTTCACGAAGGTCACTAAACATGCACCTACTGCACATAATCGTACACACTTTCTTGAACTACAGCACAAATACACTTTCTCGGAATTCTTCACCGATGCCTCGAAATCTCATATTTATGTGTCCTATGCTGCCGTCGGTCCATCTTTTTCGGATGTAGGTGTTCGGCACCTCAATACGAGCATCTTCACTGCAGAGGCATACGCGATATTATCGGCCATTAAACTTATGAAAAGAAATGAAGTTGGCAGAAACTGTAATATATACTGATTTTCTAAGCGTGGTAACAACCCTGAAAACCCTTAAAAAAACACACAAACCCTGTCCTTGCCTCTGTTTACTCACTTTTATGCACGATCTACGCACAGAAACAATATGTCGTAGTCTGCTGGGTGCCAGGACACCGCGAGATTCAAGGAAACGTGTTGGCGGATCGACTAGCTGTTTCCGCCCACAAGAATGCCACCATCAATACATCTATAGCGGTCCCTGCATTTGACCTCAAACCCTATCTTAAACGAAAGCTGAGGGATCATTGGCAGCGGCTGTGGGACGTACAAACACAGAATGAACTTCACGTTATTAAGCCACGTCTCGGGAATTGTCCATCAGTTTCAAGATCACGCCACACCAAAGTCACACTCACCAGGTTAAGGATAGGACACACACATAGTACTCACTCACATCTTTTGTCCGGTGGCGATCCATTTCTAGGCAATAAGTGAGGTAAACCACTCACCGTGTTTCATGTTTTACTAAAGTGCACAAAATTAGACACACTTAACAAAAAAAAAAAAAAAACTTCCCGTTTCCCTTCCACCATCAAATGCCCTTGCACCCTTCGATGTTTATAGGTTTTATTTATCAATCTCTGTTCGCGTTTTTAAAAAAATGTCAATAGTTTTAACGTCATATTTCCAGGCATCCCCATAGCACGACCTCTGGAAGTAGAGGTTGCTGCTGCATTAGAACATTAAATTAGAACCTGCCTTGCGACCCTTGGACACTAGGGCTATCGATGAGGCATTCGCGCTTATGCCATATACCTCATTATAAATTCAGTGACCACTGCCATTGATCTGTGTTAGAAGCATTTCATGCCACCTTCGTAATTGTAAATACATATATCTTTTACCCGCCTTAAAGTGTGGAGTTCTAGGCCCCTATACAGACACGTAGCAGCATCATAGTTTGCATCTTTCACATGTCACTGCAAACCACACATCAATGCTTTTTTAACGTAATTTTTCCTGGCACTATTTGGCCAATTATGGCCCTTGCACCAATAAAAAGCCACGTATCATCATCATTCAAGAAGATGGAATATATTTGAATCTTAGCAAATAAATTTACTATCATGCAAGAAAGATGCAGGTTATTCGGCATGCAGCAAAATGTAGTACTAGTTGTATGGGACATCAAAATTGGACAAAGGAATGATAACGTTGCTAATGTCATACTTTTCATTGAAAGTGAATATGGCTTGAGATGGTTGTTGTAACAGAGTTAACTAGAATTTGCTGGACATTTTTAAAATGTAGCATCAATATTTTGGTTTGAGGATGTACAATAATTTCCTCCTTTACTTTCAGGGTGAGACACCTCCCCATGCATACTGTAAGATTGACCGCAATCTTAATAAAGGCATGGTGAGTGCATAAAATTTCCTAATATACTCATTTTTCTTTCCTAGGTAAACCCTTGTTCATCATTAGAATGGTGGCAAACATGCAGCAGTCCTACAGTTTTTACTGAATGACACTTTTTACTCAGAGAGAGGATGTATAGTGGAGGCACTATTTATAATAAATTGCAGGGTAATACGGTCACATACGTTAACACATGTTGTTTGACTGTGCGTGCATCGAAGAAGTCCTCCATGGTTAAATAATTAGTCGTAGTCGTAGGCCACTCAAGTACTAGGTTTGTTGTGTGACCAACTACCACAGCCTCCTTGGCCGACTTCATTTGCACACAACCTTTCTAGTTTAGTTATCTTGGTGCGAGACAAAACAGATTGTGAAAATGTCCTGTTCATATTCCCGTATCTGCAGGTTGGCTCAGATGTTTTTCTCTGTTACAAGAAGTCCATGAACAGGCCTAGTCTCATTTGCTACGAGCCAGGTAAGCGACATTTTTTTTCTTGCAGCAACTGAACATGTTAAAGTTAAAAACCCGTGATAACAAAAATAATGGGAAAACAACTGATACAGTGCAAACAGAGAAATAGTTCATAAAACAAACTTTTAATGCTTGCCTTTTAGCTTGCCTTTTAGGTCCTTGCCATGAGCGAATGCATATATCTTCGCAATGTGGCAAGTTGTCGATTGTGACGTTGAGTCTTGTGCTCCACGCTTTTTGAGGTGTGCAACTGCTTCCGGCACCAGGTCGATTTTGTAAATACAGTGACGTCCACGCAAACACGATGTACTAGTACTTTATACAGCTGTATGCTGACTGTGTATGCTGAGATGTATGCTGACTGTGTGAGAGTGAATAATATGTGGGGAAAAGTCCCGTAAGATTTCGTTGCTGCAGTGTTGGAGATTAGTAGAATTTCGTGGTTGAGAAATGCGAGAAAAATTGAATCCCAGGGCGATTTGCCGGAGATAGAGAAATGTTTTGTTGTTGCGCGATTTCGTTATTGCGGGTTTTCACTGTATTGCCATTTCACACAGCATGGGCTGTTCACAGTCCTTCCGTCACAACTATTGCACCTGATAGTATGCATGTAGCATTTGGCGCGTTAGGTGTTCGTGATCTGGATAGAAAGAAACCAGCAAAGTGGTCTGGGGCCAAGCGGAGCTAGCACAAACACTTAACAACTATTTTTTCTGCATGTTTTACTGGCACCATATTTGTCAGTGCGAACACTCTCCCCTGTGACAAAAGAGTCGTTTAGGCGACCCTTGGGGCAGACTGTACTGGTTGATCATGCATAGCAAGGCTCAAGTAGACTGATGTGTGGAGTTTTAATATTTTTTGTAAAGGTGTTTGAGCTACAGAAGATTACTGTTGTACTTAATAGCCGCTTGATTAAGTGCAATTTTCGGCTGCTACTTGGATTTGGACATAATGTTCTTGGTACTTATGATGGCCAGATCTGGATGAAAATTTTCCAATACATTCCTTATCATACAGTTATGACCTTTCAAACCTGATCTTACCGGTGTAACTATAAGAAACTTGTTGTAAGCAATTAATATAGGCTGAGCATTTAAAGAATTCTCATATTATAAGTTTTCTTGTTCATTGAAGTGTTTATAGTAAAAATTTATAGTAAGTTCCCAGCATTTACATTTAATGTGGAGCAAATGTGAGCCATTATGGCTCATAAATATAGAACCCTAGTGACAGAAAAAATGTGCCTAAAAAGATCTATATTTTACACATTGTCATGATACTAAGTAAAGACTAGCAGCTTACTATGGAACTGATTACATGTTTGAAATCAGCATATAAGTTTATTGGCAGTAAAGATTTTATTGCCCTAGGCTACAGATTAAACAAACTTTTTTTCATGTAGTATCTACCCTTAATGGGGACTTCGTTACAATGCAGTCCCATTTACAGAGCTGTAAAGTGTGGTAATATGGACGAATATGAAAGTCAAAAATACACTTATTTTATCGAATCTAGTAAGTGCCATGATTGTTCGTTATTTTTGCGCCTATTTTTTTTTGATTTAGCTGTCCTGGAGCGGTTCCCACGGGAAGACTACACCAGCTTTCCTCTGCCCGAACAAGTGGCTCTCTTCTGCCTTCCCATGGGTGCCACCATCGAGGCCTGGCCCAAGAAGGCCAGTCAGCCCAGACCAACGTTTTCCACCTTTGTGCTAACCCTTGGGTCTGCCGACAAGGTACTGGTGTTTGTTACCACTCGTGATGGCTGGCACCACCCGTAGGCAAAAAAGTATTGGAACACGTGCACGGCCTGTTCCGTTCATGACAAACGGAAACTGTGCCCTAAAGTGTTTGCGTCTACTGATGTCGCTTTTAGTATCTGCATGGTTGGATGAGCAATGAAAAATGCCACAGGCACTTGTTAATTCAAGCTCGAGGTGACCTCAGGGTTTTGTTTCCGCTATTGGAAGTTTGAATTATCAGAAATTCTCTCAGCTGTGGCAACACGCCAATTTGTGTTGTAAAGAAACTTTAACATGTACATGGCTGCTTATGTGGGGACTTCGAAAGTATCTGGGAAATTCATAATGTAAAGGCTGAAGGAGGGGGTTGGGGGGCAATAAAGAGAAAAGCTGGCATGCATTTTAATTTATTGTTTCTGAGTGCTGCACCAACATCATAGACAGCTCTGAATTATTGCCAGGAAAGTGACCATGTCATGGTCCCTTCGACATATGTTGTTACTAATTATTTGTCATTTGTTAGAGAAAGTGATGCTTTGTTCATTAGATACTTAACTGGCAATAATGGTTTACTAAGAAAGAAGAGGAAAAGGAACCCCCCCACCCATCTCCTTTTTTTAAAAGAAATACTTATTCTCACTGTAAGACATCATGCTGAAAGTCAAGTGGTCAGTGGAAAACAGTCCTTCAGCTCTTGGCATTATAGGAAATCAGGAGCGTGTTCAAGCATTTGAAATAGTAATTCATTGAGGAGCTGTAAATCTTCTTCTACAAAGGGTTTAATTTTAGCATTACGGTGAATCGCCATTTTCTTAAATACAGGACTTTTCATGAAAGGCTCAGATTTTAAATGCTCTGTTGCTTCTGCTGTATTCTTTGCTTCATATTTGTAATTACCTATACACATTCATGTGTGTGTGTGTGTGCAGGTGTATGGTGCGTCCATCACTTTCTACGAACGTTTTCCCGAGGAGCAGCTGACCGATGCTCAAAGAGCCCAGCTCAGCAGCAGCAACAGGTCAGGCCAGCCCCAGCCAACTGAGGAAGAGGTCTTCTCGGCCAACAAATCCATCTGTTTGCTTTCACACTGGCCCTTCTTTCGCACCTTCGAAAAGTTCCTGCGCTTCCTCTACCGGCTGTCGTTTGTCAAGAACCCCCGAGTTTCAGTGGAAAGGTCAGAACATTTATTAGCTATATGTGAAGGGATTTGTTTCTGTAACGGGGCGTACAGTTTTATTCAACCCTTACACAAAGAATAACTTATGGTGCCCTTTACCTCTTGCGTGTTAATGCAATGGCAGGTGGCACACATTTGCATTCAGTAAATGAGATGTGAGTGTATTGAAACTTGGTGGATGCCAACTTTATTTATTTTATTTATTTATTTATTTCAAAATACTGCCAATCCCTCAAAGGGATTATTACAGGGGTGGGAGTTGATTTATACATGAATGTACAGAAGTAATGCGGAGAGCATATTATGCGCTCTGTAATAAATAGACATATACACGTATAAACGAAAAGACACACTCTAAATTTACACACAGCAAGAGATTAAAACAAGCATACTACATCCATATCACAATAACAATAACCAGAGTGACATGTGTCTGTGTCACACAGCTCTCTCCACGAGTTCAGAGAATAATTCTAGCGTAGGCTGAGTAACAGCATGGCTAAGGCATTCCAGTCTCTTACAACTCGTGGAAAAAAAGAGAAGCGAAATACATTATTAGTAGGACGAAATTCTTCTAACGTGAATTTGTGTTTGTGTCGCGTTTCTCTGGCAGAGCTGTATGTAACAAATGACCTGGGGTTGATCTTAAAATTATTTTTTAACAACAAATATAGGAATTTCAATCTGTGCACTCTCGCTCGGTTAGACAAGGTAGTGAGACCAGCCTGCCGAAGAAGTTCTGATGGGGAATCGCTACGCCTGTAGCGATTGAAAATAAAACGGACAGCTTTCCTTTGAACGCGCTCAAGCGCAGCGATGTTGTATTTAGTGTGTGGAAACCACGTAATACTGGCGTATTCCAATGTCGGTCGGATAAGACTGGTGTAGGCAAGAGAACGTGTTTCAAAGGTAGATCCGGCAAGCGATCGTTTGAGAAAGAACAATTTATTCATTGCTTTTTTAGAGATTTGCTGCACATGCGCATTCCAGCTTAGGTCACTGCTTATCGTTACACCCAGATATTTGTACTGTGAAACATTTCGTAGTGGGGTGCCGTTGATACTGTAAGGAAAGGTAAGTGTTGATTTTTTGTTAGTAATGTTCATGTAGACTGTCTTTTCTGCATTTAACACCATTTGCCAGTCTGAGCACCATTGAGACACTTTGTACAGAGAATTACTAAGTTTTGTTTGGTCATCTTCAGTTTTGATTGTGTGGTACAGTACACAGTCATCTGCAAATAATCTAATGTTTACGTCGACGTGCTTAGTAATATCGTTTATATATAGTAAGAATAGCATCGGGGCTAATACAGAACCCTGCGGTACACCAGATAGAACGGGAACAGTATCAGATACATGGGCATTGTACTGTACGTACTGATAACGGTCTGAAAGATAATCTTCAATCCAACGTGTGAGTGGTCCTTCGCCTAATAGACATCTTAGTTTATAGTTAAGCTTCAGGTGGGAAACCCGGTCGAAAGCCTTTGAAAAGTCCATAAATATTACATCTGTTTGTAGTTGGCTGTTAACATCTTTGGCGAAGTCATGAAGCGTTTCTACTAATTGAGTAACAGTCGACAGGCCACTGCGGAACCCATGCTGATTGGAGTGTAATATGTTGTGACTTTCGACAAACTCTGTTAAATATTTCAGGATGATATGTTCCAGTATTTTGCAAGATGTGCATGTCAGAGATATGGGCCTGTAGTTAGCAGGGGAAAACGTATCACCTGATTTATGCACGGGTATTATCTTTGCTAATTTCCAGTCAGCTGGAAGATGACCAACGCGAAGTGACTTTAAATATATTAGCTGAAGGAATTTGCTTACAGGCTCAGCGTACCGCTTTAAAAAGGCATTTGGAATGTCATCTGGACCAGTGCTTTTCTTTTCGTCGAGGTTTAGCAAGAGGGATAATACACCCGCCTGCGATATGAAGGGGGTATCTAATGGTGTATCTACGCCACTTGGTCTGAACTGGTCGCGTTGAAGTAGGCCATTATCAGCGGTGAAAACAGACTGAAAGTAGCTGTTGAAATGATCGGCTGTCTGTTTTCCTCCCGGGGTAGGCGTATAGGCTTTGTTAGTATGTTTCACACTTATGTATCGCCAGAACTTATGAGGCGCTGTTTTGATAAAACTGTGTAAAGAGTGACTGAGAAAGCGCTTTTTTGCCAAATTCACTTGTTTCTTAAGGGACCTAGCTAGTGCAGGGATTTCCGACGCAATACAACTGCGTGGGTGAACTTTCTGAGCTTTTCTGAGCCTTTTTAGTTTACGCTTCATATGAATTATGTCGCGCGTGATCCATGGATTGTGCTTTTTGATGCTTTTTGTAACTGTTGGAACAAAGTTGTCTATGCAGTGCCTGACAATATTACTGAATGTTGACCATATCATATTTACCGTTGAGTGTTCATTTGAGTAGAGGTCCAAAAAGTTGGAAAATTCGAGAGCAAGGTATGTCATGATGGCAGCGTCGTCCGCTCTTTTAAAAGCAGGTACCCGTTTTGTTGTAGCTTTCGTATGAATAGCGCTTGGATATTGCAAGCAACACGAGACTATTTTATGATCAGATAGGCCTTCTAATGTTTCTACGTTAATAGGATATTTTAAAAAGTGATCACTTACAAAAAAAAGATCTAGAATAGAAGCGAAAGAGCCTTGATTACGTGTAGGAACTGTAACAACTTGTGTGAGGTTAAATGTGAACATGATATCAGCAAGCACGTTGCCAGTCTTCGTCGCCAGATTCAGCGAGTCCCATTTCACTTCAGGCAGGTTAAAATCACCTGCTACAATGATTTTTTTACCGCGAAGAGCGTGCGTATGCATATAATCGTACAGTGCTTCTAAAAATGAAACTTCAGCATCAGGTGGTCTGTAAACGACGCCAATGTAGGTTATTTCATCCTTGACGTAGAATTTACACCATACTGCTTCGATGTCAGATGCCGTGGGCATAGCTGTGTAGGGAATACCGTGACGAATTAATAAGGCTACTCCTCCTCCTCTCGTTTTCCTGTCCTTGCGTAGAATCGCATACCCTGGCGGTACTACCTCGTGGTCTAGGATACCGGAATGCATCCACGTTTCAGTGAGCGCTACAATATCAGGTTGATAAGACAGTAGGACAGCTTCGAGTTCATGTGTTTTATTGATAATGCTTCGGCAATTCACATTCAAAAGTGTCAACGTGGATGATTGCGAGTGTGTCGCGTTTTTGCGCGTCTTTGTTCTTCGTTTTTTTCAGCCTCAACGATGTCATTTCGTTCACTGTCCCAGGAGAATAGGCGGCCATTTATGCGAACTTTATCGTAAACTAATGAGACCTTCTCATGGCGCTCACGATTGACTTTTGTTTTTTGCCACAACTTTCTTCTGATGTCACGAATTGGCTGGGAGAAGTCTTCGCTAATCGAGAAGCCTGTGTCTTTGAGTCTTGAACACCGTTTTAGGATGTTAATTTTGTCACGGTAGTCCAATAGCCTTAGGATTACTGGTCTTACTTTTTGTTCGTTGCCCGGTTTTCGAGCACCGAGTCGGTGAATTCTCTCTATTCCTGAGGTAGTGAATTCTAGTATATCTTGGAATATATTTTTCGCAACCACATCGTGTAAAAGTTTAGACGTTTCATTCTGTTGTTCTTTCACACCATAAATGATAAGGTTAGATCGCCGGCTTCTGTTTTCTAACTCGTCGACTTTTTTCGCCATAGCCGAGAGACCGTTTTCCAGCTCCGATATTCTTTTCGTGCAGTCTACTATTTGTTTTTCAAGCCCGCCGATTTTCTCAATCTTTTTATCTATTGCATTCAACTTTTCGTTGATTTCAGTTTTTCCGTTCTTAATTTCCTGAATGTCTTCAGCTATCAGTTTTAGCTGTTCTGCTACTGTAGGTCCCGGATTTTCTTCGATGTCGCCACCGAGAAGCAACAAAAATGTTAGAGAATTAATGACATCGTGTAACATTTCACACAATAGCGTTATGGACCGTGGGCACGGCAGCAAAAGTAGGCAGACGTCATCGCTATGATAAGATTTAGCGTTGCGTTTTCTCACCTGCATGAAAAACAGCAGCGGGTTTGAGCACTGCATCTTGGTGTTGCTGCCGAGCCCACTGCCACACGGTCCTTGCGGAGCTTGCTTTATAGCTGTGATCCTCGATGCCGATAGATCTGCCGGTTCCAAGAATTGTAGTGTAGCGCCGCCCGGGACGCCATCACATGGCCGGTAGCGAAGCACGTCATGGGGCGGTAGTCCTTCGATCGTCGTGTTAGGCGCTAAATGTTGCAGCTGTAGCGCATCCCATTGTGCCGCTGTTGATGATAACCGCAGCAAGCCAAGCAATATCTGCATGAAAAACAGCAGCGGGTTTGAGCACTGCATCTTGGTGTTGCTGCCGAGCCCACTGCCACACGGTCCTTGCGGAGCTTGCTTTATAGCTGTGATCCTCGATGCCGATAGATCTGCCGGTTCCAAGAATTGTAGTGTAGCGCCGCCCGGGACGCCATCACATGGCCGGTAGCGAAGCACGTCATGGGGCGGTAGTCCTTCGATCGTCGTGTTAGGCGCTAAATGTTGCAGCTGTAGCGCATCCCATTGTGCCGCTGTTGATGATAACCGCAGCAAGCCAAGCAATATCTGCATGAAAAACAGCAGCGGGTTTGAGCACTGCATCTTGGTGTTGCTGCCGAGCCCACAACTTACAGTGGTTGCCTGTGTTATCCGGAATATATGCAGCTATTGTTCTTCGAGAACTGCTCACTAAGCTAACATACTAATTACTAAGCTAACACTACAAAAAATGAAGCTAGGGATAAAACACTTAAAAAAAAGTTTATGGTCAATAGTAGACTTGTGTGAATAGTGTATTTTAGGATCGAAGCAAGTTCGAAGCGAATGTTTTGATCGAATAATTTCGAATCGAATTCGAATGGTATGTATTAAAGAGAATATTTATCGTGACCCAACTAACCTACTTAATATTTCTTTTGAATTGAAATAGGGGCTGTATGCAAATGCCCTTTTTTTTTCGTTCAAAGGAAGTCTAAACAGCCTTGAGTAGTACTTTCGGTAGGATGCGAGTAACAACCTGTAAGATACTTAACGTTCTAAAATTTATTATACTTGGAGCATATAAGCCATCATAACAAGCCTAATTAAATGAAGAATTCATTTGAGGGTAACATGTTCCTTTAAAGGGGCCCTGCAACACTTTTCCGAGTAGCCAAAGAGGCAGTAAACATGCTTGTTGCCTCACAAATTTACCGCCGCAAAGTTTCTAGAATCAGTCCAGTATGAGTGGAGTTCCAAAAATTTGTCACACGCTGCAGTTGCATTCTTTCTTCTCGTCTCGACTTAATAGCTGCAAGCTACTAAGCTGGGAGGAATGGTACAGCGAAAGAAAATACATCACATGTGTGTCGTGACCTTGAGCACCTTTTTTTTTTTTTGAATACGCGGCTTTTCAGTGCGATCATGCTTGCACTTGTGAACAAGCGGTGGCCTCCCGTGGCAGCCCTGGTAACGAAGAGCGTGCCATGCTTATATCAGCCAATGGCTGTGACCAGATCCGTATATTCCTTCTTGGCTGTGACAAGTGATTTTTGAGCTTGTAGTATCACTTGCCGAGAGAAGAAAGCAATTTTTAGCTTTTAAAATTTATTGTGGATTACAGGCCGCGTGCTGCGCTATAATATTTGCCTCGGGTGTTCTCGGTAGCCTCGACTACCGTTCGGCAGCGTTTTCTGACCATGCTCAGTAAGTCTTACAGGGCCCCTTTAAATTTGAAGGGGGCTTCGCGGCAAAGCGAATTTCCTCTGGATAGGTGCTTTCGTGGCTTATCACCCCTACGTTGCAGTAAAATTACCTTTACAGGCAGCTACATGCGAACTAATATACACCTATTTATTCATTGCGAACACTTCGAAAAATATTTGATAATTTAAATTCGAATCGAAGTGAATTAGAATACTCAACTATTCGAATATTCAAATCATTCGAATATTCTCACAAGCCTAGTCAATAGAGATGCCACAGTGGTTTGTGATGGTTTGTGCTTTGCTAAATAAAAGCCTGTGTATGCTGGTTCCTAAAGGGAAATCTTCAAAATAACTACATCAGAAGATCAGCCTGCTATCACCTACTTTTGTGTCATGTTTTTTTTTTTTGAAATGCTAAGACAGTTGTCGTGGGATAAAATACATGAGAAGTAACATAAAAGAAGTAAAACATGAAAAGTAACAAATGCTGATGACCTTAAAGTAAAGAACAGTTCCATGCCTTTAGTTGCTTTCAGAAAAGCTCATAGGGCTTGCATTCACTTCTTTTACCACAGGTACATTTCTCATTTTATGTTGGATATCCCATTTCCTTCTGTACAACGACCGAGGATATGGATACAGGTGAGGCATCGGTACAGTCGGACCTTGATTAACATAAAAAGCTGCGGATTTTTGTTTTCAGCTGGAAGACGATCATATTTCGCTTTCCCAACTGGAAGACACTCCACTTCCACTCAGGTAGGGCGCTTTGTTTCCCGCTTCCCTTGCCTGAAATTTTCGTTGCATTGAGATAGCCTCATGTAAATTGAAAGTCTTGCACTTGCCTCTCATTCTGTCTTGCAGTGGTGCATCCTTCCGGGAGTTTTTGAAGACACTAGCTCCCGACAACTGCCTATGTGTTCTGCTTTTGGCGCTGACTGAGCAGAAGATGCTGTTTCACTCCCTGCGGCCGGATGTGCTTACCAGTGTGGCCGAAGCCTTGGTGGCAGTAAGCATCTCATTGTGAACTGTTCTCTGCATATCTGCCGATGGTATTTTTTCAGTTGTACCACATTGGCTCAGATACAGATATGAATGATGATCTGTTCAGAAGGGGGATACAGGGATGCTATTCATGGTACTTGAGAGTTCCCTCTCTTCTGGTACATCACTTCCCATGTAGCATGTGTCCTGACTCTGCTCAAATTTATCTCCACATGCTAGACGTGTGTTGATCAAATGTGTATTGGAACACACTGAATTTTTTCTTGTAAATTTGGCACAATTTAGTGACAGTGAAACACCAGACACTCCAGAACGATGAATTAAAAGTATTATTACACTGAAACCTTGATATAACAAAGTATTGGTTATAACGAATTGAGTTAATAATAGTCTGGCAATAGCTGTAGCGTTAGGAGTACACCTTTATAATGAATTTTCAGATATAACGAACATAGTGTTTTCGTGTAAGATGCAACTTCGTTGTAATGAGGTTTGAGTTTATAGTAGCTTCAAAGTATGTAAATATTGAATAGTTTGTTGACAATTTCTACATATCTTGCACAATTATTATGCGAGGCTATAAATAAAGATCATACACTTTTGCTACTTTGTAAGAAGTTAGGATCTAAACAGAAGATAGAGTGATAACTAGCTGCTCCATTTCCTCTTCTCAAGGAGTGGCAGTGAAAGAAAAGGCATCAGTGCAAAACACACTCCCTTTTTAAATTATTCACTCTGATTAGCATTGTTGTTGCCATGGGAGCTGCTAAAACTGCATTGTTGTTTTCTTAAGTTATGTTGATTGTTTACAACCAAGGTTATCAGATTGACATCTTCAATTTATGTTTTCTTCTTGAAAGAAATCAGGCTTATTAAAAGCTATCTTGGTACTCACATCTGAATGGGCTTATGATCCACGTATTGATAGTCGACATGCGATTAGTCGTGCTAATCCTATTCTTCCCTTCTTGCAGTTGATGTTCCCATTCCATTGGCAATGCCCTTACATCCCACTGTGTCCATTGGGCCTCTCTGATGTACTTAGCGCTCCACTACCTTTTATTGTTGGTGAGTTTGTTCTTAAAACTTTTTTTGCAGGTGTCTTAAGCTTTCTGCTTTTTCTGATTGTCCAATCAATTAAGTGTACTGTTTCCACACTTACACTTGTTATTCATGCTCCGTGAGCATTGTGCCTTATACATGAGTACCTAAGGATGCTGTGAGACTAAGACTAATGTAATTCGTTCAGCCGTAGATGTAGTGTGCATCTTGTAAATTCATGTCACCTCTAAAGGAGGTTCAACTAATTTCGTTACATTTTATTCCATTGGAGCTAGAGGGTGAAGATAATAATACGAGCTTGCTTTGGTTCTACTTCCCAAAGATTCTATGCAGAGTGCACATTATTTGGCTAAACCAGTGACAGACGCTGATGCTGGAAGAGCTGAAGTCAAGCATGCTTTATTTTGCTGTTTGCCTTAGTGCCATTGCATGTAGGATGAATTAATGTGCAGTAAGGATATGACTACAGTGAACGATTGTCACATAACATTAGATGTTGCTGATTACGTGTGAAGTTGCTGTGTCGAATATATTCACATTATCTGGTTTGCTTAAACCAGTCCAAACTTGTCTCATTGCACAGGTGTGGATTCAAGGTACTTTGACATGTATGAGCCCCCGCTAGAAGTGGCCTGTATTGATCTCGATACCAACACCATCTTCATGTGAGTGCTTTGTTTGGTTTTACTTTATCATTGTTTCTACAAGCACTTTGATTAAAAAAAAATAAATTTGGTCAGGATAGCAGAGTGCCCCATTTTATTGTTTGTACAATGAGGAGTGACTGTGTGTTGGCTAGGGAAAGTAACAGTTGAAGGCACAGCTGCTTTTTGTAATTTCTATTGTACATCAGCTGTGGTGGCACTTCACATTCAGTGATGTTTACAGCACAATGAGTATATAATAAGGCTTCACTGAAAGTGAGGCTTCTCCATTTTTACGTCACGGAAAAAAAAAGAAACATTACAGGGATATGCAGTTTGAATAGTCCGTAGTAGCGGACCCAGTTTGCATGTGAGTTAATAATTTTTTCTAGGAAGCTTGGCTGGATTGCATCATCCAGTTTGATTATCAGAATCATTGGATTAGTGAGGTGTGAATAAACATGCTTTTCTTGTGTCACAGTGTGCTATGAGTACCAGAAAAACTGCAAGGATTTACAGACTTCATACATATCAAAACATCCAACTCACAATAACGCAAAATCATTCAAGCTAAAATGGTATACATTAAAGAAAAGCATAAACCTCCTTGATAAAAGACATGCTCCGGGCAGCAATGCTTTTCTTTTATATGAGATGGCTCTTATTAGCTGGGTACCTCGTATACATTTTCTTATCAACCTGTATTTTACTGTAGGCACACTGGTGTCTCTTATACCCATTTGTCTCTTATAGTATCTGTGTCCCTTATGAAGGGGTCCGACTGTATATTACTTGGGGTTCCTCCAAATCTCTTATATGCTTGCTTTTAGACCATTAGGGTTTTTATAATGAAACCTACAAATGTACCCGTATTCGATTCCCAGCATTTCTACAGCGATTCAGGTCAATCCTTGAAATACTAGTCAACAAATAAGCCTCGAGCAGTTACCTCCAAAATTTGTTACGCATTTGGGAGATTGAAGGTGGCAAGGTGTCAGACTGCAAGCATGCTAGAGTACGTAGGTTTAGCTTCATGTTATGAAAAACTGTGGCAATGCACAATGACCAGCAGCATCGAACTGGATCAATCGACCGATATTGTGTACTGCTCTAAGCTTGAAAGAAATATGATGTTGTCTGCCTTTTGCAGTAATGAAGAAAAAAGTTTCCTCACTGCAAAGCTTCTACCCAAGGTAAGTAGCTGACTCATCCTTTCTCACTTCACTTTTTCAGGGTTTGTTTTTGTGATAAATAAAAGAATTTTATAGCAACCAAGCACACTTGCTAGTGTTATGGCATAGCTTGAATGGCTGGTGATGAACTAACTGGCCGTGCTTTTGTTAGTGTGCAATGGTGTGTGGAATAGGGTACCGTTTATGCATTTTATTTCTGGGAAAGTGAAGCAGGAAAAGTATTAAGCTTTAAAAATTTGGCCTTTCTGCTCTTGTATATGTTGGCATTTTTTTGTTGAATAGGTGTCATCACCTCTGTGTCCCTTGTTGCAACTCCTGTTCTCATGGGAAGGGAAAAATAAGTAATAAGACTGTTTAATTGTGTAACCTTGCTTTTGCTATAGGTGCTAGTGTTTGGCATCTGAGTAGCAACGTTGATGACCAAGTTACTGGGTTTGTTTAGGCAGCATGGGGTATATGCTATGCTGGAGAAATTTCTTTTCCTTGTTTGCTAAGGGGGCTCAGCTGCTGTTGAACCTACCAGTAATATAATATGTCATGTTGAAGAGTTAGTATCGTATCTTTAATTAGTTTGCAGGCATGTCTTTCATTAAAATTTTTCTACAGAAAGTGGTGCATTAAACTGAGGAACAGGTGTCCATGTTTGTGTGTTGCACTGTGAAATGCAGAAGAGGTGTAAAATGCATTTACTACATTCACTATTGTTTGTTAGACTATAATCATAATGATGCACACACCTTCATTCTCCTTACTTTTTCCTCTTTACTGCCTTATGGAAAACCCAGCTTGTGTAATTCACCAAGAGTAACATTTAGATACTAGAAAATTTTATGTTTGTGTCTTGCACAGAAAGCAGCAAGAACATTACGTGGAAACCTGCAGTCATTGTATGAGAAGGTTTGCATGTATGAAAGCAATGTGGCCAGCATCGCAGCAGCTGCTGCACAGAACCCAACAACAGCCGGTGGTGCCCTGGGGCCTTTTGACCGAGAAATTGGACTCCACAGGAAAGAGGTATGGTTTACAAAAGCTTGCGCAGCAGTTCATTTTAGTCTTGCGATGACACACCAATGCTTACCACATCTTTTCACAGCGTCGATTGGAGCTGGAAATCCAAGAGGCATTTTTAAGGTTTATGGCGGCCATTCTGAAAGACTTTGGTTCTTACTTGCGACCCATCACTACAGCTCCAAAGCCAGGCGTAACTGACCCAAATTCACTCTTCGACATCAATGGTAAGCTCATGAATTATCGATGCTGAGAAATGTACTACATTTTTATTTGCAAACATTTAACATTTGGAGTGTGCGCTACTGTACCTGCTCTCGGTCACAGGCACAGTTACCTTTATAAGGAGGTTTATTGACTAAAACCAACTGCCTGGTTCAAGGGGCTTCAGTCACTGTAACGAGCTCAGCTCTTCGCCGTAGTCGTCTTCTAGCTGCTCCAACTAGATACTGTCTCTCTCCCTCTTCCCCACTCATTTGCCCCGATGATGAAGAGGAGCCATCCTGACGACTTACGGCGAAGCAAGCACAAGGGGATTATAGTAAGGTTTTAAGTGGCTGATGTGGACACACTCACAACCACGGCATCGTCTGTCATCGGCAGGTGTCGCTGGTTCGATGACGTAGTTGACCGGTGATGTGCATTGAACGATGCGGTACGGACCATTGTACTTGGGTGCAAACTTTCGGGAGAGGCCGGGGGATTGGAATGGAACCGAAAGCCATACAAATGAGCCTACGGGGAAGCTGTGAGCAGGCTTGTCTTGGTTAGGGTGCGACTGGCATACGCAACTACATACTCCGAGAAGCCAGGCTTGCGTTGAGCAAGGACAGCGCCAAGTCCTATGCCACTGGCATCCGTGTGCACCTCGGTTGGAGCAGTAGGGTCGAACTGGGGTAAAATAGGTGGTGAAGTAAGGAGATGGCATAATGTTGCAAAAGCATCATCGCATGCCGGCGACCAATCAGAGAGGTGTCCATCGCTAGTGATCAGCTGTGTCAGTGGTGCGATTATCAAAGCAAAGTTCTTCACAAAGCGGCGAAAGTAGGAGCACAGTCCGACGAAGCTGGGAAGCGCTTTTACGGTCGTAGGCTTCGGGAACTCAGCGACAGCATGAAGCTTCTCTGGGTCTGGAAGGACGCAATGTTTTCAGACAATGTGGCCAAGACTTTGTGAGCTTGCGAGCTCCAAAGCTCCCTCTTCCCCACTACACCTTGTTTATCAGCAGCAGCACCTCAGTGCAGTCATACGTTTCTCTGATGGAGCTCTATGCTTGAATTGCTGGAGGTGTGCATGCTTAATACTTTATCATACACAGTGTACTAATTTCCAACTTCCCACATTGTTTCAGGATTCTTGAAAAGCAGAGACAGAGCGTACCATCGTTTCTATCAACTGATGATGCACACCCAGATGTTCACCCGTTTCATTGAAGAGCGCTCATTCGTCTCGGACAAAGATGTCAGCTTGGCTTTCTTTGATGAATGTACAGAAAGGGTCGATGCTGCTGGTGAATCTGCAGAGCATCTGCTTTTAGAGGTGTGTGTTTATGAAAACTTTGAATTTGCAGTTGTGGATCTGAAGTTTTGTGTCTTCGATGAGTCTGCATGGGAGATTGCTGCACACACTATTGCATGTTTCAGTTAAGACTGTCTTACTACACTCAGACCTCATTTTAGAAAAGTAGCATCTTATACGAAAATAAGTTTGTTATATTTGAAAATTTGTTATAAAGGTTTATTTCTAACACTATATTTATTACAGGACGATTTTCATTTACGTCACTATAACCAATATTTTGTTATATCTGGGCTCGTTATATCGAGGTACGAGTGTATTTGAATTCATAAAATGGTAATTTCTTCTGGTAAAACTCGGTAGTTGCAGTAGACATCAGAACTTGTGTGATACATTTAGATTTAATGCAGTTTTAACAATTATAAGCTAAGTGAGCAAGTTGTAAATGTATAACTGCATTTAGTGAGTTTAGAAGCATTTATTAAAAGTTTTGTGCCTAGCAATAATCTTAATATTACTTTGCTTATAAATGCTATTGCTGTTTTTCATGCTGCATCTTCTTGACTCTACAACGAGGACAGGTACATACAAAAGTAAATGGCAGGAGTAATGCACAGATGTAGGCAAGTACACTAAAGCAAGACTAAGGGCTTAGAAAGATGATAAAACTAGTGTATAAAATCGTTGTAGAATTGTTTGTAGATTTTTCTGGCATTTGATCTCTTGTCAGTGCACAAATGAACAAATGGCACATTCAAATGAGTCACAGGTGCTACCATTTCATAATAACCCTAAGTTGCGAAACTGACCTATGTATTCATTGTTTACTCCTGTATGGGCCTGTTTAGGCTCACAGTATTCAATAAATAAAATAAATAAATAATATAAGTGAATGTAGAATGGTATTGTTAACACTCTTCACAACTCCCTTCAACCTTACCTGTCTATTTCATTGTCCTTTTGCTAAGAATATACTGCCATTTATATAAAATTATGTTATGCTCTAGATATTGCCTAGAGTCTCGGTCTTTGTCACCCTTGGTCAGTAGGCTAAAAAAGATCCGATTTCTGCATGAATTCAGGTGGCAGGATCCATGCAAAGCCACGAGCACACAGTGTTCATCTCGGCACCTGAACCCCCACTGGTGGATGGCCTGAATGGGAGCCCTGGCACATTTGGTGCTCTCAACCCAGCCCTGTTTCACCGGCAGCCCGCTATGTCACTGCTGCGAGTGGTGCCTGAGTGCCAACCATCTGCGAGCCCCGTTGCTCGGCGCACGAAGCAGGAGGTCAAGTCTGCTCTACGAGTAAGCTCAGGAACCATGCAAAGTTTAATCATGCAGTTTATAGGGGTTCTTCTTGGAGGAATGAAAACAACAAGCCATGCGTGTAAACTTGTCCTTCATTTGGCTCGTTCCGTGCGCTATCAATGTCAGTCAATCTTGCTACTACCATGCAGCAGCCCTAACAGTCAGAGCTGTGACCCCCTATCTTACGGTTCGTGTTAAGTAGTGGCTGTGGTGAGATTCAGGCTATTGAGGACAGAGGCAAGTCTATTAATATTAAGTCTATTAGGCGCTTATTCACCTTGGTTACACGCCTGCCTATTGCAACCAATACAGTGGCACATCCTAATTAGCACCTGAGTGGCAGAGAGTTCCGTGCCACTGAGGGAGACTATGAACGAATGGCAAGCACAATACGAGGTAGTGATAGCAGTTCATCTCACCTCTTTTACTCTCTGGTCCGAGGTGGTAGCTCTATGTCCAAGCGCTGCAGGGGTTGATGGCAGCGGCGGGGCTCTCGACTTGCTTCAGATGTGGCCAGTCCCTCCTCCCAAGAAGGAAGACTCGAGGGCCCCCGAAAAGGCGGCATGCATTTTTGGGTTCCAAAAAGGTGTGTCCCCCGAAAAGTGAAGAAGGGAAACGGCGCATCTCGGCTTCAGCCAGGGGGCAGGGTGCGAAGGGCTATGGGGGCAGCACAGTGCCCTCTCTGAGCAACCCCTCTTGTCGTTGCAAGTGCATACAGAGCATTAAGATGAGGTGCCACCGAAACCCACAAATTCTAATTGTTGCGATGTATGAAGTTGTTGCCCAATAATGACGTGCTGCTGTCATTAAATGAGTGATGTCCTGGTGTTGCGCATGGTGTTGTGGATTCAATCTTTGCACATACTGCTTACATTTTGCCACATGCATGGAAGTAATATGCAGAAAATGTCTATTTACTTCAAATTAATTGCATTTATAAGAACTTTAGTTGGTCAAAAATATTTTGGGGGGCTCCACTACGGCATCTCATATAGGGTCGTTTGCTCTTTGGGGCATGAACAGTGGCTTTGTGGCAGTGTGTATTTCTCCTGAATAAGTGGTCTGGTTTCACAGCAAAGCACAACCGCACTACATTGGAACCGTTATTAAGGTGGGCTAGACGAGGACTATTTATTTCATTCGAGTACTTTGACATTTTTCAACATTTAAATTTGTGTCGTAGTAAATTTGAATAGTGTAACGTTTATTTTAAAATTCGAAGAGCGTGAAAGATCCTCACATGCCCAAGGCTGGCGGCAGCTGACTAATCACACCACAGAAGTTCTTTCTTGAGTTTTTGTCATTTTTATTATTTTTTAAACTTTGTTCTTTAAAATACCAGTATGGATACCTGAGATTTGAAATATATAATGGCTCATCGAGGATATGTAAATGATAAGATGAAATTCTATTTGTAGCACTGCACATAGAAAGGAACAGCTTCTTTACCTATAAAGAAATATGGTAGTTTCTAGTTTTAAAAATCAATAAAGCGCACCATGGGGTAGCGATTGCTGGATGTGGGCTTGTAGGTGGCTCCCGCACGCATTTATGTGACCAGTTTGAATGTTGGTGCACGCAGTTGCATTAACGTTATTTTGCAGTGGAGTACTAGTGAATGTAAATAATTGTTACAATATTTGCAGGCTGCCCGGATACAAGCTGAATGTCCTGTTAGCTGGGCTAAGTAAGTTTAAGCTATCTTTTCGCTTTTTTTTTTGCTGGTACATGCATGTGAATACAATGGTATACTAGTGAGGCAAGTGTTTTTTCATATCATGTTCTTTGACCCCTCAAAGCAAATGCTGAGAGGTTTGAGGTAACATGGGAAGTTAGCTTTTACTATGAGGTACACGGCTGAGGTGTACAGCTAAACTTACCTATAAGCAGCACTGATTTATTGAATTTTTAAATATGCATTGCAGACTCTCATTGAAGTTTTTCAAGGTTCACAGGCATTAAAAGCTTTTATGAGAACTCTCATTAAATGAAACAGGAATACTGAACTTTTCTACTCTGCGACAAAGTTTCGAACGCATCGGGTTTTCTCCTTGAAAGCACTCTAAAGTAGCAAGCAGCACCCACTCTACTCTGTTTTCTACTCTACTTTGTTGTTATTGTTTGACCCAAGCATGACTCCTGGGTGTTTCATTTGATGTTTATCCCATTTGTGTTGTTACAGGTGTCTCGCTGGCACAAGCTACAGTGTCTGGTTCATGCACCTACCGGCTTACACCAAGACCTTTGCATCCAAAGCCAAGGCCTTACGTGTAGCCGATGAAGTTCTGCAACGCATGCAGCAATTGAAGTTACCAGCTCCTGATGAGGTTAGCTCCTCTTGTGGTCATGTATTGTCGATTGTATAACTTCATGATACTCTGATGCAGCCACTTGTTTCTTGTTTTCTAAAGTGGCAGACTGATACAGCAACACCTATGAGTCCTTTACCTGGCCTTTCTTTGTTTGTTTAGTGCTGAAAGTAAGGTCTCGTATGGTATGGCATTGCAAAAATGAAACTAGAGAAGAGACATCAAGTGTGTTGCTTCTAAAGAAGGGCAAACGATAAAGTTTTAATTTGAGCTATTAAGTCTATAGGTATTTAAGCATGACTAAAACTTGCTGAGACAATGCTTGCTTGAAATTCTTAGGTGTAATGCACCTTGCATTTACTTTATTTTGTGGTCGAAATTTCCGGAGCCCTCCACTACGGCGTCTCTCATAATCATATGGTGGTTTTGGGACGTTAAACCCCACAAATCAATCAATCAATCATTTACTTTATTTTGATTTTGATGGACGTTGTTATGGGCATATGCATGCCTTTATTTTCTTGACCTGCCTAGTCAATATGATCTATGTGGTGAAATGAATTGATATCTCTTGTCATAAATTATATTTGTAAGCGTACTTATTTTCAATGACTTTTTTATTTTGCTTTGGCCACCATGCCTTTTAGTAGACATTGAACGTGCATTATTAAAATTGATTGCATTAAACTTTTGTCAGTTTTCTTAAATAAAGCTTTTTATGACTTTTGAGTGCATGTGAGCTCAGTATATCATTTGATGAGGTGCATACAAAAAGAATGGGCTGTGAAAGCATCACCATGTTCTATATAATACCTCTGTAGTGCTAGTTGCACCGGGTCATACGGCTAGTAACACATCCATGGGTCTTTGTACCTGGGGAATGCTCTTCTCCTTCTTTACTGTAATGTTCATCGGTTTGATGACTGTTGCTGATTTCTAAAGAGTTGCACTAAAGAGGGCATTGCATACTGCATTAAGTGCATTTATATTCATTTGCATCAGAGCCTATAACTTTGAAAGTCAGAAACTGCAGACCAAAAAAAAAAGCAGATGATGTGCAGCACTTCTACTTCTCTTATTTTGTTGTTTTGTGATGATGTAAGCTATTAACATGTGTCATCAGCTTGTCCAGATAATAACTACCCAAAGTGGTAAATCTCTTTTTGAACAACGTTTTTCTTTTTGTGTTCACAATCTGATATACCATAATAATGTTAAGAATTTAAGGTACCTAATTCTTTGACGGGACGAAAGTACTGTATTAGACTACATATGAATTACACGATTCCATGAATTTCCAGTTTCAAGATTTGCAGCATTGAAAAAAGACTTGTTTAATTCTTTTTTACCTTGTTTGCAGGAATGGAACCAAGAGATATAATTGTAGTATTTTTCTTTGGGCTTTTCAGGTCTCTTATCGTATCCTTATGCTGCTTTGTGGCCAATATGGTCAGCCGGCTCTAGCTGTCAAGATCCTTTTCGACATGAAGAAGCATGGTGTTCAAGCTAATGCGATTACTTATGGTTACTACAACAAGGTAATGAGCTATATTTACTGCACATACTTTTATCTATCTTGTCATTCTTTGCTTCTTGTTTCCTTGTTGATGCGCATGCTTTTTTTTTGTGGATTTTTGTGGTGGATAAAATAAATTTGTGGAACTGCTATTCATGTGAGCTCTGTTAAATATCACATTTAAGTTCACAGATCTGCTTTCGAATTGAGAAACAAAATGTGTGGTGCATGTTTTTATTTTATTTTGTTTGGCAATTTCCAACTTCATGTTGAAGAACATTACAGGCTGAAATTGTCTGTGTTGCATGTCTTCAGTGTCTTGGTGTTGCATGCCTTTTAGTGTCTCTGGCACTGCTTAAGTTATTATTGCCACTTGTTCATTTGTTTGACTGAACGACTAAATTCGTGTAGGTGAAAAAAGAAGAATTTTAGGGGTTCATTTTTATTAATTTTTTTATGCAACCGTATTGAGAACGAACTGACAATTAAGCCAGGGAAAGTATCGGAAACATTATTGGTGGTAATTGTGTTATAGAATTACTACAAATAATGTCAATTCAGCTTTTCCTGACTGAATTTTATCATGGATCTCATTAAATATAAAAGATACCTATGTGCATAATCGCATGTAATAGCGGATGAATAGTGGATCAGGCTTTCCTTGAAGCAGTGTGTAATTATCTGCGTGCTGTTACATGTGCCGAGAAGTAAATACTCTGCTAGCATTTCCATCTGTTGAACTTCAAGATTTAGAGCTTCAGCTTACCTTATGAGACCTGTGATATTTGCCTTCTGATGTGTTTATGGTGCTGATATGAGATATGCAAACATTGGCGATGCGGAATAATTTGTAGCCTGCGCCAACTATGTTGTAGTGAAGCTATTTCCGTGTTATCACATCACTCTGATTTGATATTTTTCTCTTCCAGGCTGTTTTGGAGTGTGCCTGGCCCACAGGGGACAGTGCTCATTGGGCCAAGCTGCGCAACGTTGTCCTTGCTGTGTCGCAGTTCAAGCGTGCGCTGCGGCGATCTCAGGGTTCCCTAGGCTGCACAGTGCCTGACGCCCCGCGTAGTGTGGGCAGCAGCCGCACCAGTCTTGAGGAGACCCTGAGGCCCCAGCTTGACCCAATGGCTGTGACTCCAGAGCTGCTGCCTGAGCTGCTCACCAAGACAGATGACCGATCCAGCTCTGGTTAGAGTGTGACCCATTTTTCGTCTGTTTTATTGCATGGTAGTTGCAATGCAATGTGCCAGTCAGTCGGTATTTCTCTCTTAAACTTTTGAACCATTCACAGTACAGAGGATCGAATCCTTGATTGGGACTGTGCAGTTGTGTTTAGGTTGTAGTTCCTATTGCTGTATTTATTTTGCATTGCATTCAGCTCCCATCTGTTTTATCTTTGATGACTGAAAGTATGATTTACCGTATACACTTGACTAAGGGCCCCACCCCACAACTTGGCAGTCCAAGTTTGGAAAGAAAAAATCTCACCTGCAAACAGCAGCGTCGTCGCTGCTAAGGAGGACATCATTTCAGCTGGTCTGCTTTTGGATTTTAAACGCATGGTGTGTGGTATACACGGACATTATTGCAAAAATTTTTAAAGTGCAAAAAGTTTTAATGTCACCGGGATTTCTAGTGCCATAGCATTGAGGACTATTGGATGCATGAACATGCGGATGACAGAGGCAACGAGCCGAGCCTGAGCAGCGATACCGATGAAGACTTCTAGCATAGACATTTGTAGCTATATGCCAGATATATCATTGTTAGATACATATGACACGATTAAGTAGGTTTTTCCATACGTAGAATAAAAGAGTGAATGAAGATTTAACACTTCCATGGAAGGGCCGCACCCCATCAAAATTGCTGAAAAAAATTTCTGAAACGATTGCTATGTTTTTAGGGTTCAGGCTTCGCGAAGCTGTTTTCGCTTCAATTATTGGTTTACTTGTAAGTGCTTTGCGTGCTTCTGCACAATACTTTTGTGCTTGATCACTTGTGAAAGTGCCCTTTGCAAGATCTTACTACTGACAGTGGAATCAGCTATGTGTGTGTGTGTTTTAAGTTTCTTTGTTTCTTGCAAGCTCAGGAAAGCCAGTCAGAAAAACCCCTGTGAGGTGAAATCGCAAAGCACTGTTATTCGTATTTAGGTGCCTTTTTGTATAGGGCACCCTGGCACCATATTTGCACTGAGTTCGCTTACCAAAAAAGTTTAGTTTTAGACTAAGAAAGAACCTTGCGTTACTTATGCTACCAAGCTCCTGTCACTTGCTATGATAGGTTTTTGGTTAAGACATTTCACGCTGAGCATGATGTCAATGGTACAGACATAGGCACGGCAACCAGGTTGCTATGGTGTGGAATTCAAGAACATTCTTGTGCCTGTTTAGTAACTCTTGAAGTGCCCATGGCCACTTGTCTGCAGGGGCGGGGGGGTCAGCAGATTCAGACTTCTATTTTTCTGGTGTGCCACCATTCAGGACACGCTCTGGTAGTTCAGAGACAGCTAAAGTTTGTCCACTGTGTCACAAAGTAATGTGTCTTAATTAAGTAAAACAAATTGAGAATAATTGATTTTGAAAGAAAATAATTGAAGTCCAAGAGAATGCAAACGTGTGAAAGGGGGACAGAAAATTAGGTGGGCAGATGAAATTACAGTGAAGCTTCTATTATATGTCCCCCAGTTTTATGACGACCTGCATTTTACTACAGATCGGTTTGGTCCCGGCAAAATCTCAATATAGATAATGTATTAAAAACCTCAGTTATACGACCCAGTTTTACACCGACCCCGCATCTTATCATGACTTTCCAATTCTGTCTGAAATAAAGAACGCACCTTTACTTGCATCGTACATCGAGCAAGTACTCACTAGGGCAAAATATGAAAACTTACATTCGCCTAGGGGGATGATTAGGCAAGTATAGATTGAGACAGGTTGTCTTTTCAGAATGGAAAATTTATTCTTCGTTTATGCACTTCTGCATACGCCTCGATCTCGTGTGTACGCTGGGTCGTTTGCTAGAGAAGCTCCGTCTGTAGCAGCTTTAGCTGGCCGTAAAGCTCATTTCTGAAATCCTGATTGGTCTGTATAAAGGTTTTCTCGTTGACGTACTGCTGATCTCCTGCCATGGTTCGTGGCACTCCCTGTCAAGCTTGAGCACGCAAAAGGGTGCGATGCAGCTGTTTTCACTGTGCAAAACAACTTTCGCTTGATGCCAACATATCTATATAACAGCAGGACATGACTAGTTGCACTTCACAAGGCAACAAATTACAATGCGCACAGCTCAATCACGCACAAAAGTATTCTATGAAACCTCATGAACTTGTGCATCGCCATTGTGTGATGTCGATGACACTGTGTTTTTACCTCTTCTGATGGGAGGCTCTTGGCAATCAGTTTTGTTTTCACGTGCAGGCAATTTTCGGATTCAATTTATTGGAAGAAAGATGCATGTTGGATTCGATTTCCCTGAAATTGAGATTAAAGATTTGCTCGCACCTGCTTCAATTAAGTAATGCTGTTATTGCAAGAGTAAATAAAATCTACCTTCCTTGGAGAAGTGCAAGGTTGTGCCGTGGGATTATTCAGCCAAGGATTGCTTTGTATGTAGTTAAAGAAGACTTCGGTGTACTATCATGGGCTCGGGTCACTATAACATGCATCTGCCAGGTGCCACACGTGCATGTGCTGCAGTGCGCAGCAAGGCATGCCTTGCCCCTTCCACCATTCCAAAAGGAGGTATTCTAAGGCCATCCGATGTTTGTATAGTGGTTTTGTTGACCCCATTTCATGGTCGGTGGACTGACTGGGGAGTTGCTGCTGAATGTAGATGCGGTGGCCAAGCCAAGGGTTCACACTACTGCAGGAGGCCAGTCAGATGCAGGTTACGGCTCTACCAGCCAGGATGAGACAGCCAAAGCATCATGGCAGGAGCTGTCAGCCATACCTCAGCCAAGCAAAGAGAGAATAGGCAAGCCCTCTTCTTTCCCACATTGGCAGCAACGCCAACTCGTCATCGAATTTTTTCAAATTTGGGGGAATATTCAAAGACGTAGTATAATGCAAATATTTTGATTCATTCTTTTGGTGAAGCAACTTAACATTTCTGTGAATGCATAGTGCTTTACACATGCATTAAGCCGTTGCTCACAAGTGATATATAGAACGCTGTGCTGGGCTTGGCGCCTGCAAGTGTTTCTTTGTGGTTTACGTCTACCTCTTTTTTCCTGATGCAATAGCACTGTTTAGATAGGTGCTGTTTAGAAAGGCATTGAGTCTGAAAGGCAGCTCAAGATATGAATAAAAAAATGTGCAAGATGATGGCTCGAAATGTGGATGGCTTGTGCAGCGCGGATTCTACTCGTCTTTATCGTAACACAGTCATAAAATGCGATGAATAATGCTAATAAAGACTTTTAAGTGGCTCCAACCAAAAGCTGACTCATTGTTCTCAACATTTCAGAAATCTCTGTTTCTTCTTTGTGTTGGTTCCTCCTCTTTTGTCACTCCCTGCTGAAAACAAAAAGGTGTTGGTTCCGAAATGTCAGGAACAGTAGAGCCATTTTTAAGTTGGAACCATTCAAAAGTTTCAATTACCGTATTTGCTCAAATGTAACACGAGATTTTTTCTAAATTATTGCTACCTGAGGTCGACATTTGTGTTACAATCTAATACCAGAATTCACGACATTCAAGTTGTTTTTATGCTGATGCACTACATTTCCTTACATTTTATTTTATTTTTTACTTCCTGGGTGTCATTAAATCTCATCCTACAGGTTACAGTTAAGTAAAAACAGTATATAAAGTGCATCCAGTTGGGCAGTTTTTTTGAAATATTCAGTTTCAAGAATATTAACCCTTTACAGTCCGTTTTGGGCAGCACCCGACAACACACCCAGGATCCCCAGGAGGACCCTGCACAGAAAAGGATCCTTTGAGCGGTATCATACACTGCCCAAATATCCCTGAAGGAGTTGCCTGCAGAATGCATGAGCAAAAATAAATATCCTCGACAGTTTGTGTTTTTCTTCACAGCTCCAGAAACTGGCTAAACAGTTCCAGATTGGTAGAAGCGAAAAGTGGGTAAAAGTTTTCGACGGCAGAGGGTTAATAGCAGAGGGACGTAACCTTCATGCAGTAATGCACGTTACCTGTGGCATACTGGTGCCATAGCGGCATTTGCCTGTACCTAAGGTTGAAGTTTTGCAGCAGGATATTGGTGTGACAGCACACTTCTAATGGAACGGTCATTCTAAAATTACTCCGTACTCTCTCCAATTATTAAAGTAAAACAAAATTCTTTGTTTACATTGCACTCATTTGTGATATGGAGAATTTTCTACAATCTATCATTGCAGCTCCCCAGCGGAGGCAAAGGAGAAGTGGTGCTGTGGTCCAGAGCATGCGCTTTGAGGAGCTGGACTTCACCGAGTCAGATAAATTCCGGAACCGGGTCAACAGCCTAATCCGTGGTTCAGTTGGAGCTCTTGGAAGTGCATCATCGTTGACAGATGCCATAGGCATGTACCCCTTCTGCCTGAGTGCATTTTGTAATTCTGCATCTAGCTTGCTCTTCGTTCTCTTATATGCTTCTAGAAGACCATTCAGGATTAGATCCAAACCTTAAACGCTATGCTATCTATCCCAGTGCATAAAATTAACCTGCCATATGAACTGTAATGTGAGCATGCTTATGCATTCCGTAGCATATTTTTGCACTGTTGTGTTTCATCAAAATTAACATTCATGGTATAATGTCATCATATTGCTGATGCGGGACATTTTCAAAACTTAATGGCGGAAACTCTGTTAAATTGTGTGTACAGTCGAGCCTGCTTATAACGAACCTGAGCCTGATGCGGCATCCGTTCGCTGTATCCAAAGTTCATAGTAGATGAAACACAGCTTTTAAAAAAGTTGTGAGTAAAAACACAAACTTTTTTTGCCCCAAAAAGTCTGTGATGCATGTGTTTAGAAGAGCAGAAGCAATAAGGGTGGTCTCTAGTTTATTTCAAACGGCAGCGTGCTCGTTTGCTGAGGCCCGTGGCATAAGCTGCATGAGGCACTGACTTTAAAGTTTCGCCGTTCTCGCAATCTGATTCCTCCAAATCACTCTTGCCGCGTACTTCATTCACAATGCCTTAATCTGTGCACAGTTCGGTGGTGTCAGCATCATCATCGGCTATAATGAAATTATCGCTACAGATGTTCCACCCGCTCTCTCATGTTGGAGTCAACGACGCGCTGCCACAGTGGTTCTATTCGGAAGCTTCAAGCAAGGCATCGGGCCCGATGTCGACGAAGTTGGCCTCGCGAAAACAGTTTTGCGCGCACGTAGCCGTCACTGCCGCCCACAAAATATTCACCATCTCCACAGCGGAATACCAGGACCCCCGAAGTGGCAAGTTGGCTGCCAGGTGGTCAACAGCTATGAGCAAGTGCTCCGCACTGCGGCACCTAACGCGTGGATTATGCCCAAGCCAAGCGGTCACACTTTCGACATTTTGTTGAGCGGCAGTAAAAAGCGTGCAAGGTCTCCCGTCTGCCATTCTGGCTACACACTCACACCAAAAGAGCAAGCAAGACGCGCACACGCGACACACATGCCAGAATGCGTGGAACAGCTCTGGGCCCGTTTCTCGTCAGAAAACGAAACTAATTCAAGCCAGCGTGGCTGGCTTTGCGGAGCGGTGGAGACGGGCGAAGGGGTTGTGATCAAGAGAGGAGAGCAGATTTGCGAGAGAAGGGCAAGGAGTTGTGATAAAGCGAAGAGAGATGGGGATACGGCGGGAACGCGACCTTGAAAACCAAAACACGTGGGAAGAAGGCAGGTCGGGTAGCTTGCTGAAAGGTCCGCGAAACGCACCACTCGCGCGTAGAAAAACTTGATAAGAGTGTTCGCGCGCGCAGTGGTCAAAGCACAGCCACCTGGATCTGCGTGCGCGGCGATGTTCAAATAATCAGCGGCCGTGGTCAAAAAATTGTTTGTTGCTCTGGCGAGTTTGCGTGGCCTCACCGACTTCGATATTTCGCAATCCGTTCCGCGCAAATTACACGCGTGCGGATGGCATGCTTAGCCGAGTGCGAAGTGAGCGAGTACAGGTCCTAAACAAGAAACGAATCGCGAATTATCAGAATCGGTGGGGTAACGTACGCGCGTGTACTATAGGCAGATGATTGGATAGAGTCGGTGGCCGACGCAAATGGTCTGGTCACTCCAGGCCGGCGAGGCCAATGACAGTACCAGCGATCAAAAACAGGGGAGATGGAGGAACAGTCTTCGAAAGATTGGTGGCAGTGTGAAAACACGGGCCTCATCTGGCGATGCAAGGTGCTGAGAGTAACGAGGGGATAAAAGACGGAGGGGTGCATAACAAAAAGCGATCGGGGAGAGTGGCAACTAGAGGGGTGCGGAGGCAGGGTCGGCGTTTAACAATAAGAATGTATGAACACCTCGCCGATGCCTTATCGGTGGTCGAAAGTGGTTTCCCGGGAAGTTGGCAGAGTGCCGACCCCGTTCGCTGTAACCGATTGGCGGCGCTTATAGACGTTCGTTGTAAGTGCGATTTTGTGCCATTAAACCAATGTATATTTTCATGGTTACGTGGATATTGTTCGTTTTAAGCGAAAGTTTGTTTTAAGAGGGACTGTTATATGTGGGCTCGACTGTATTGGCATGTGATAAGTTCTCAGGAGCTGGCAGTCACCAAATGAATATAAACTGCCTAACAATAGCGATAGGGTCATGCCCCTGAAAGTACACCTTGTATATGCATTTTGCTAAGTTGCCTCTTTCATACTGCCTCTTTGTTCCTGTTGTCTGTGTCGTATCTATTCTCTCATATTGTTGTTTCCTGTGGACAAGTGCTTTTGTCATGTGTTAATCCCATACTGATTGTTGGCCTAGTTGGTACTTGCTTAACGGCATGCTTTGGCCGCAAATAACACAAAGTGAAGGAACACACAACGCTTGTGCTTGTCGCTGTGTTTTTTTTTTTGTGTTATTTGCGGCCAAAGCATGTGGCGAACCCCATTGCTTGAAAAGTTAGACATTACGCTAGAAGTAGTTTGATGGAAACAGTTTAAGCTTCATGACCTGTAGGTCTGCTTTCTTCATTGCATTAGGTTCCTGCTGCACATTACACGTAAGCACTAAACCGTTTGCCACGGCTTTTGTATTTTATTTGTTTGTAGTTTCGCACTCATTACTTACTAAATGTGTCAGTGGAAGGCCTGGAGTGTTTTTTCTGTTGATCTCATAACCATTCAGGCAGAAAAAATTGGCATATTTTTCAACTAGTCATGGCCAGTAGTACTTTGAACTATGTGGCTATGACACCAGAGCTGTTTGTGGTGCGTGTGTTGTGGTCTGTGTGTAGTGTACTACTAATTGGCAATGTTGTGAGTTATGATATATGTACACAGCTGCAGTTCATTTCTTACCTCAGCAACACTATTTGCTTTTTTATGGATAAATACATGTGCTGATGGAACTTGTACAAGTAAATTTAGCAGGTTGACAGAAAGTTTAAGTGCTAAAAACCATAGCAGAGCATAGCGACCGAAGGAAAATAAATTAGAAACAGTTGCACATCCCATCAGCACTCTCAAGCATTCACAGAATAGAAGAAAAAAAGGACGCCCAAAGTGCTACATCTGTCCGATATATGTGTTGTAGTATTGAAAGCAGCATTCAGTGCAGATGAACAGTGGACTTTCACAATGCTTGCAGCCTATAGTCTAAACTCTCATCAAGAGGAACCCCGTAAAACTGAACTTGTCGATTTGCTGAACTATGTGAAAACAATGTTACAGTCAGCTAATTTCAGTTCCAACAAAAGACGTCGTCATTGCAATAGGACAGATAGGTGGGCTAGTTGGTAGGTAATATTCCTTCAGCGAACTGGGAAGGCGGGAACACACAACAGACAGAGAAGGGCGCTTGTTCCGTGTAGCTCTTTTCTGTCTGTTGTGTGTTCCTGCACTTCCAGTTCGCTGAACGAATAAAAACGTCATCATGGTCACATGTGCCAGGACCATGACGAGTGCCATAAGGATGCCAGACTGAAATCGCCTTCACCAAATCATTCCGACACTACAGATTAAGAGGTGTTACTCCGTTGCTGTATGGCAAGTTGTCTAAAAGCACAAACAAAATTATTGCAGACTTGATAAATCCTAGCAAGAGTTCTTGGAAGACACTATGTAAAGCCATGTGCTCTTTTTTTTCTGTAGTTGCTGCCCATTATGAACCCACTTGATTTGCTCTTTTCAAGTGATAGATACAGTAGACTCTCAATAAATTGAACCTGAAGGGACCAAGAAAATACATGTTCCATGTAACAGGAGTTTTGTTCACTGAGAGTAGGTTTACTGAGAGTATTTCATACAAGTAGGAAATCAGTCTTATCAGAAGCACTTGTTCCGTTTAAGCAGCAGTTCCGTTTACTGAGAGTCTACTGCATTTGGACGCACCTTGCACATAGTAAATTCCTCTTTTGTGGGCACTTTCGATGAGTTGAACTTCTGATAAAATGAAATTTTGATAAGGCAAACAACTTTTCGTGGTCTTCATTTATAGGCAGTATTGCTTTTGGATCCTCTTAGCAGCTATGTTTGGCAGTGCTGCTCTAACCACCCTGGAACTCTATAATTTTGAAGTCAAATATTTTTGTGAATCGTGGGGCATCAAAATGTTTTGAAATGAATTATTGGTATGTTCACTATGTAAACTCACCAAAGATTTAGTTAGCATAAATTAAATGGAATTTTGAATTGACCATGTTTAAATCATTGTGAGTACACTATTAGTGGCCAGTTTATCAGTCTCTGTCTTAACAATTGTAAATCTGTAGTGTGTATCAGCCAAAGTGGTTTTCTGGAAACAGCATTGCAAACAAGCTGCTTTCTGCCTTTTATTGCAGTTTTTGCAAGGAACCAGACAATAATTTTTCTCATTCCTGTTTCTTGTTCCATGGTCAGACGCTTCGAAGAGCTCATGTTTGTACTAACCTCTTTGTAGTGCCTTCTGCGGGGGTCCTGATTACGAGTGAAGCCATGCGGCAGAATGCCTTCCTGCGTAGCAATGGAGGCGTTATGGTTGACAGGCTGCAAAATGGTCGGCGGCGCTACCACAGCGCGAGTGACCGTGCCAACCAGCAGAGGCCCACTAACATGCAAGTACCTCCACAGTGCAGGCAAGGGGCATGGGTGGCTGTCGTTGCACAGGGGCTTGGTGATTGCTTGACGTGTTGAAGCCTGGAGTGGCACTGGAAATGGCCTGTATGTGTTTGTAGGGGATCTGGGCTAGAGTCTTGTCCACTATTCTAAATATGAACAAACATTACAGCTGCATGTGCTTTGTCGAGGCTCGTACCTATGTCATTTGTAATGCCACTCTTCACATATTGCACATTCTATTCCTTTGCAAAGTGGTCCATCAGTCTGATTAGGTAGGGAGTTAGACTTTGTGATGCTGGCTCATTATATGGAACAGGTGCTTGCCTATGGGAATGCAGTGAATACTTTCCCTTTGTACCTCTAGCTTTGCCTTTACACCTCTGGCTTTCTCGTTGTGCAGCGCTTTTATGAACAGTGCTTTGCAAGACTAATTTCAATAGGCTTATCACACTTTCTTCCAGCAAAGCAATGTAATGTTACAACATCGGGCTGTGTGGTGCAAGTGTATATACACCTTTCCCTTTCACCTGGAACAAATTTCACCAGACCTTCAAGTGCACTGTCAGATCCGTGTCCTTTGGCAATGTTCTTTATCTGCCTGCTCTTTGCTGTGCACATTCTTCTCTCATGCTTTTGCTCTCCCTCTCCCTGCTGCTTTGCACACTGCACTGTTGCTCTGCCCGGCTTCTGCACTGTGGGCGTGGACCGGCCAGGAGGAGAAACCTGCGTGTACTTGGCAGGTCTTGGACGCTCGGCGGGGAGGAAACTGCCCTGGGACAGGGAGACTCTCACCTGGCAGCCCTTGCGGAAACACCAGTCAGCTCGGACGCACTTGCCGAGAGCCCCCTTGCCAAGGTGGGTGGCGTACAGGCATGACAGCCCATGTTATAACTTCCAAAAAGAATACTCCCAAACTCCGCTGAATTTCTCGCTCTCCTGAATCAGTTACTGCAAACAGCATTCGTTAGGGTTCAACTCCCAAGTTAATTCAGAGAATGACTTTCGATCTTGCGAGAAGCACTTTTGTACAAATGCAAGAGGACTCTCTTGCTTCCAGAAGAGCCCCTGGAGGAAAATTTGGGTGGCGCTAAAGTGTTCATGGTGTAGTGGTTTAGTATGAATTTACATTGGCTACCTTATCTACATGAGCTCGTTTTTTTATCCTACAACTGCTGTTTATAGTAACATTAGCTGCATTGTGAGCTTGTAATAGTTGTGTCGGCATTCAGGAAAACTTGTAAATGATAAATTCTGTTGATGAACTGCATTCAAATTGTCAGTTTTGACCGTGGAAATTGGAATATAGGTCAGACAGGAATATAGGTCGACCCCCAAACTTTGAATCTCGGAAAAAATAAATTTTTAAAAGTTGCAAAGTATCGCGGCGCACCCTTGCCTTGGTAAATACGCGACACAACTAGCTGCACTGTCGTGACATTTATTTTTATTTGGACTGTAATCTTATGTAGTTAAACACCAGAAAGCCACAAAGTGCTGTCACTCAGACTCTTCTGAACATGAGTCCGACATCTGTTTTTCACTAGTAATGTCCCTGAGTGCATCGTCCTCCGCTCCATTCACTGCCTTACTGATGTAGCATTTGCGGAAAGACGGAAGTACGCCAATTCAGCACAAAGCCCTTCCACTTCATAAATTGGTGAACCCACGATGGCGATCCCTTGAATTGCACAATCGTGAGCCCAGAGTTGCGCACTATCTCGGGGCTTTCACCCGGATGCACCCTGCTGTTATGGGTAGCGACTTTGCATGCAGCTCCCAGATGAATTCAAAGAGTAGTGTTTCCAGTTCGGGGTGCGCTGCAGTTCGTCCACTAAACAAAGTTTTTGTTTTGGTTGCTGCAGTGTCGGATGCTTTGCTCCGGTGCACTGAATTCCCGTTGTGCTGCCAGGTTGCCGTGTGCTTCGGCATACTCGATAACTTTTTTCCTAAAGCTTATCGTAAACTGTCAATGCACTGAATTCCCGTTGTGCTGCCAGGTTGCCGTGTGCTTCGGCATACTTGATAACTTTTTTCCTAAAGCTTATCGTAAACTGTCGTCAACTACCACTCATTTCTGAAGGAAATAAAAAAATAGAAAACAGCAGATTGACAGCATATAACTGAGGCAGAATGGCGTTGCTAGAACACTGTAGGTCTCAGGTAGCCTTGCCCAACGGTGCCGCTGCTAATGCTCATGATGGCAATGAAGGCTTTCGGCTTTAGCTGTCCATTGTTGAGAGACTGCCACATTTTTTTCTGCCAATGACCGCTATAAGACGAGCGTCGACTTTTCAGTGCGTATTTCTGAAAAAAAAAATTCGACTTATATTCTGGTTTTGTATTTCCTTTGTGTTTTACTATCTTTGAAGCAATTTACAATTGCATGGCCAGATATGCTGTAGAAACTAAGGCTCTATTGTTTTATCACAAGAGTCCGACGTATTGGACATACGGCATTAAAAAGCACTAAGGGAGTTGATACATGGGAGTTCATGTGTTTGTGTACCTTTCATAGCCGTGCTGCATCTTCAATAATTCAGCTGCTTGGGCTAATTCAATAGCCAAACAGATGCTCGATTGCTAGCTTTGCTCCTATATGATTGTTTGAGCCTCATTTTTTTTTTTTCAGGAACCACAGGAAGAAGATCGCACTGTCAGCCCTGCTCCAGATGCCCCAAGCAGCCGCTCTTCGGATGTCGTCACACCACCCCGGTCCGCACCGCGACCAGCCCAGATGCATCGCTTCTCAACTGGTGGGTCACCGGCGAATCTGGCTCGCACCCTGGAGCAGTCGAAGGAGTTCATCAGTTCTACGCTGAGCCCCCTGAGAGATGCCTGGCAGCAGATAGACCTGTCAGGGGCAGCTGCCTCCATCTCTTCCACACTGGGGCTTAAGAGCCGCAAGTTCTCCTTAGGCTCAAAGATGGCGTCTGTGACAAGAAGCTCCACCTTCCACTCTAACCACAAGTCCAGCTCAGCGCGGTCATCACCTGCAAGGTCATCGTCTCAGATGGAGTCCCTTGTGGAACAGGTCAGTCTACAGCAGCACGCAGTGATTTCATGGGGCTGACATATTGTCACAAGACTTCAGGAGGGTAGCGGTCTTTTAATCAGCCACGGAGTAGCTGGCTCTCGGAAAACTCGTCCGTTGCGGCTTGTTCTCAAGCGAAGGAGAAGCGTGCGATCTTCCTTTTTTTTTTTTTTTTTTCAGAACGAGGATGTTTCTGGCCCCAACCCGCGACATGCAGGTGGAAATATAAAAACATCATTCTTGTGGAGGCACACAGGCGCGGTAACAACAGTTACTTACTTTGTGGCCGCTAACATCTGATATGCTTGGAATCGTTGGTCAATATTGCTTATGACACTGTGTGAAGACGCACGCTTCGCACTGTGCCAGCTATGCTGTCACTCATGCTGATGCATTTATTTCTACTCGCGCTAAACCTCGCAAAAGCCCATCCCACTGCACTGGCCAAGCAAGTATGGGTGGCAGCATCATTATATTAATTATAAAAAGGAAAAGTAGTTTGAAAAACTAAAAGCATTTGAAAGAATTGTGAAAGATTAGTCATATCTTCCACTTATGTTCCTTCAGAAGAGATGGTAGAATGCTTAATATGTAGTGATGGGCTAGTTGGTGAGCCATGATTTTTAAAGAAGCAGCCACAAAAGTACATAAAGTACGCCACATACAAAGACGTAAACAAAGGCGCTTCTGTTTGTGTCCTTCAATGGGTGCGTATTTTACATCTTTTGTGCGCTCCTTCTATGAAAGAAAGAATGCTGAACATTATGCCCATGTCGCAGGATGCACCGCCTGCATCACCAAGCCCAAGGGCCACAATGCCGCTGGAGTCCACCGTGGTGGTTGACGGTCCTGCTTTGTCTACTCCACGAGGCTTGTCGAGATCGTCTACTTTGCCTTACTCTCCTGGCCGTCGCTACTCTCCTCAGTGCCCTCCGACATCTCGAGAGGCCCCTCCTTTGACCAGTGGCCAGTCACCGCAGTCATCCACTTTTGGCCTGTCACGGTTGTCTAGTCGTCATTCAGAGTATCTGGTTGACAGCCTCCGCCTTGCTGCCAACTCAATGGCCTCCAAGTTCACTGAGATAAAGCAATCACTTTCGGCCTCCAACACACCCACCAGAGGTTAGTTTCAAACATGGTGTAACAAAAATAAGGTGTGAACATTCCCCCACATCGTGCGTCCAAATAATGCTCAGCATTTTCAGTCCCTCTAGGCTCCTATGTTGCAACGCCCCCATGCAACTGTGGCCAGCGTATGTACAATAGACGACGAGCTGTATAAGTAGCGTCCGTAACAGCGCTGTGCAAGAAAGAACGCAGTGGAGGCAACTGCTGCGTTTGCCCCACGTGGCATTTTTCCGTTGCTAAAAACACAGCACGCGTTCCTAGCTTTAGCAGCTAGTGTGCATAGTGTTTTGAAAAATACAAGTATAACATAAAAGGGGAACATCCGTGTGTTTTGTCGCTCTCGGTCTCTTTAGGTCTCCTCGTTGCAGCACCCCTTTGCTTTTGTGTCATGATACTGTGGCCAGCACATGCACTAAAGCCGAACATTATCTGGACACGGTCTCTGTCAAGGTGAGCAAAGGGTGTCGACACCTAAATTATTTTTCACACTCCATGGTTTCAAATCAAGAGTACCGAGGACACAGTATGTTGCCCTGTTTCGTATCTACAGTCAATTGCAGATTTTGCAGATGTGATTAATAATTTGGATGCTGCCACAAGCCTCATAGACATCATCATATAAGAGCATCAAAAATTGCGGACGTTGAAATTCTATGGCATCCAAATTTTGAGACTTTCTGCCCCAATTGCAGGGCCAAAGTGGCTCTGAAGCCGTCACCTCTGCCGCATTTATCCTATCATAGGTTCGAACCAGTGTTTTTGTGAGTTGATTTGTTCGCGGCCATAGCAGTGTTCGAAAGTCATCTTTGCCGCAATGCGTAAATGTTATGGGTTCAAAAGGAGTGCTACACTAAAATTTTCAGTTGTCGTTTTTTTTTTTTTGTGTCAAATGGAAGGCAGAGCTCTTAAGAGCCTAGAAAATGCACTGCTATGTACGAGTGCACCATGAAAAAGTAATTACAATGCGTTTTTAAAAGCGAGTTTCAGTTTCTACTGTATGCTAATGCCACATCACGGCATGAGCTTCCTGTCATATGCTCGCGCAAGATATTGTGGCGTTTCCACAGCTGCTCCGCTCTTTGGCTACGTTGGTGATGCACAAGCATGTTTGGTGAGTGTTCTGGTCACACACAAGCATCCATTTTGGAAGTTTTGGTGTCTGAAGTCACCACAACTGCGTGAAGTCACCAGAATTAGTACTGTTGTCTAATCTCAAGCTAGTGCCAATTTCGGCAGGTACACCACGATAAAATTCACTTTTGTATCAAAATGAATGGACTTGCATGAAAAGAACGTTGAAGGGAGTGCATCTTTGCAGGTTCCTCATACTCCTTGCCTCGGGGCTATGAGCACCTGCTGTTGGAAGATGATGACCAAGAGAGCTCGCTATCACTCGAATCTAGCCGCCGTGCAAGCATGGATCTTTTGATGGGGCACGGTGGAGAAGAAAACATTGAGGAGCTTGCTTCTGAAGACAGCTTGCTTATAGCAGATAGTGCAATAGGTGGGTTACTTTTGTGGCTCATCAAGCCTTCTGTTCATGGGTTTCTTGTTTTGATCGGCAAGGAATGGCTTGGTTAAAAGCGCAGGTACCGAAAAGAAGTTCACTTACGGTAATACTATGTGTAGTAATAGTTACATGCATGCAGGTGTTGCAGGGATTAACACACTAGTTGAATGTTTTATTTGTCGATTCTGTTGAGGTAGACTCACAATTGTGTTTAGTGCTTGTTGATATGTGGCTGAGGTTTCATTGAGGCGCGGGAGTCACCCTTCTTCAGGAAACACAAAAACAGTTTTCTGAAGGTGATTCGCATGACTAGCCATCCTCTAGGTCATCTTTTACATCGTAATTCAAGCAGAATAACAGTTTGAAAAAGAGGGAGGAAGGAATAGGTACCCTTTAGTTTTACAGGCTTTAGAACAAGAAAGCTCAGAACAAAATAAAAGTTGAGCTAGTTAGTAGGAACTCATGAAAGAATGCAAGGCACGCAGATATGGACGCTAGAGGAGAGAGCAGCCCAACACAAATGCTGTTTGTGTTATCTCATTTTCTTCTCTTGAGAGTGTATGCTTGTGTGCCTAACTTTCTTTTATAAGGAAGATTTTTGCTTGGACAATGAGCTGAAGACAGCTTTACTATCTGGAATGAATTATAACACACCCCTACGATTGTAATAACAGCTGGTACTCCCGTCGCCGGTTCTTCACTGCTACGTTCTGTGGAACCTGCTGAGGTGTCTGTGCCGACCGCAAGTGGTGGCAGTACCAGTCGTGTGGCACTAGAGGTGTCTATCACTTCTTGCTCCCAGTGCAACACATGCAAATCCGTGCTGTATGATGAAGAGATTATGGACGGCTGGACAGCGGACGACTCAAACCTCAACACCAGGCAAGTGTCGCAAGACATCTTTCAGCTACTTATCACTATGGCTCTAAGGCTACAATCGAATCATAGGTTGTGGGCAAAACACAGCACACACAGTTTGCTTTGACTAACAGGGGCACAGCACCTTCATTCTCTTTGCACCATTGAGGCATCTTTCGGCACATCGCATCAGTATTGGCCACTGCACTACTGGAATCAGTTCAGTGCATCATTATGGGCAGTGGTAAAACAAAATGCAAAGTATTAAGTTTCATTTACTCAAACAATATATTAAATCTTAATTATTTATACTAAAAGTAAGTTACTGTGCTGCTTGTCACTACTACTGTAAAAGCTGTGTAGATGTAGATTTTCGGTGGGAGCTATGGCTTTGCATCAGTGACATAAGTGAATGTTTGCAATAAAAAACGCCTATCAATCTATGGTGTACTAGTCACTTAGTTTTTCTCTACTAATTTTTTTTCAGGTGCTACTTCTGCAATGGAACGGTAGTTCCTCTTCTGACTGTGAACATCAAGGTAAGGGCTCAATTTTCATGGCTGCAGACGTATCGAATACTACATTTACTCATGTAAGACATAGAGCATTATCATGTTTGAGTATCATGGTGTGAACCTTACACAAGCTAGACTTATAGCTCCTCTCTGACACAGCACCCCCGCATCTGCACTGAAGTTCATAAATTAACTCACCAGACAATCTCTTATCTACCCTTTATTTTATATACTGGGCTGATCTTGATGGGGATCATCAGTTACCTTGATCTAATAATCATTAGGGTACATAACAGTTGTTATTTGAATGCTTATCTGAAAACTATGCACATCTAAAGCAGTTTTCAGAGAACATAAAGAACAGCAATTTCTTTCTTAAGGATCATGTTGAAAGGATTATTGTTAGCGTTGTGCTAGTAACGAAATTTTGGGTTCAAAGGGAATTTGAATATTGGAGTGTGCATCGAATAGAATAATTTTAGAATATTTTTCAAATACTTGGTAGCAAAATAATGGAAAAAATAAATATTGCAGAGGATTTTTATGAAAGATTAATATGAGATAGCAATATAAAAGTGTTTCTTTTGGCTAGCTGAATGAAGCGCTGGCAGTTGGTGTTTTATAGTTATCAGATCTCATTCTATCTAGATCTTATCATTATCATTCTATCTAGATCTCTTGCTATGTTATACAGGCTAAAATATTTATTGCCGCTGCGTGTTAGAAAACAATTGTACTTCGCTTTTATTCATTCCCACTTAACATATTGTCACCTAGTCTGGGGTATGTGCAACAAGACGGATGCTGAACGTGTTTCCTCTATAGAAAAAAAGGAGCCTAAAAATGATTTCTTCCCATCCTCCCCCATCAACTGACTCTCTGTATAAAAGTCTGAACGTACCACCGTTCTCAAAGTTATATCAGCTTTCTTTGGCAGCAATGATTTTCCGCAAATTCAAACGTGATCGCACCATGTTCTCAAGCAAATATCTAAATAGACAAGTGGCATATGACCTTCGCACTATTTCATTGACGGGATCATGACCAAGAACTAATTATGGTACTAAAACTATAGATTATCAGATTATTTCATTGTTGAATGCATACCCATCCCTAATCGAATTGGCTAATCGGAACTCAAGTATGTTTCATTTTAAAAAACAAGTAAAGCTACTTTTGCTGCCTCCTTGAAATTACAATTATTTTGCTTTCAACACGAAAATATGTAATTTTGTATATTTATGTAACATTATAAAACTGTTAAACCTGAACAATGTAAACTTTGTATAATTTTTGTCCGAATGTGTTTTTTACTGCTCGTTTTTTGTTTATATAAGTTGTGCAATGAGCATTGTACTTATTTTCTCTGATTTTGCTCCTGGCTGTCCGACGTGTAAGTCCGGGGTGAATGCCTCGTCAGGAGACATATGGGTCTCCTTTTGCCTTGCCTCGTGGACATATTTCATGTCATGTAACTATGTCCGAAATAAACTGAAACTGAAACTGCAAAAAAAAAAAAAAGAATGAGGCACTGTAGAGGCCGCATTGTATTTATGTGCATGACTTAGTGCAATTAAAGTGCTGCCGACAACACTATGCTTGTGAAAGGCAAAGATGCAATTTCCTCAGCCTCTCATCCTCTTTCAACTTCTGTGGAAGTCCAACTGATGTGGCGAACAATGTTGTGCTCCCTTCGAGTCATGGGTGGTTGACGGTAACACCGTACGACCCCACTGCTTCGCCAACTCATCATCATTCGTCTCAAGGATATGCAGTGATTTTGTTTTTTCATTCGTCTTGGCGGTGCAGATGGAACGAGCAGCATTGAAGCAATTTCAGCAGATCAGGCCTCGCAGGCCAAGCACCAGACTAGAGGGCAAGATGAAGCGCGAGACGCAGATCAAGCCTAGCAGCAGAAACTCGCGACAATGCACGCCCTCAAATGTCAAAAGGGGAATTATGTTGCGCTAGTTGGTCTTGCAGTACTCATGTTTAGCTTTCTCTTTGCCAGTGACGTACTCATATGTGCAAGCATTCACTTCAGACCTCAAATGCCTGGCCGAGCCAACTCCAAGGTTGGCCTTACCTGCTGTTTGGCAATGGTAGCCATTCAATAGATACTATAGATGCATCACTGGCTCATTACTTGTTGCGAACAAACATAGCCTTTGAGATCAGCAATCTCTGCGCCTGGCATGACCTGGGATACATGGCTGGCCCGACCTCTAGTTATGGCCAGTGGAGCCTTTTAGTGCTGGCAACCTAGCAAAATTATTGTAAACATCTGTGTGATGGCAATCGACGTTGCACCTGATCAGCCTGCCAGCGTTCGAAAAATGTAATGACACTATGTGGAGCATCAGGATTTTCAGTTGTAAGATTGCATTACATTACTGTGATAGATGGAGTGGTGTTGCTGTGAAGGTCTCCAAATAAATTAGCATGTGCAAATTTTCAGTGTCCTAGTAAACCGTAGGTGACTACCTTCTTCATAATAAGTGACAATTGATTATCCCATCTTGTACCAGGTTTCTGGGTATATTTAGTGCGTCTATAATCTCCAGAATGTCATATAGAGCATACATTATCTGTTGTGTTAGTAAGTACTGCTCACATCTGGCTGCAATTGAAAATCTTCCTGGCAGGACTATCGGGTGGAGGATTCGCCTGTGGGTGGCAGCCTGGCACCTTCCACGGAGAGCCTGCCCAGTGCTGCAGGCCTGTCCTCCCGTCTCAGCCCGGAGCGCAGTCCGCTGGCCAAAGGGCCACATCCCGAGTCTGCAGCAGGGCGTGCCGTCACACCCGACAGTCGGGGTGCTGACTTTCATGCCAGCAGGCCAGATAGCATAGACAGTGGCAACGATGGCTTCCTGCTGCTCGAAGAGAGCCCAGACGCTGGTATGTGCACATGTGGATGTGGCACATTTCTTGAGATATCTCGGGTGGTAACTACTTGTGAGAAATGGACGGATCGTACCCGCTTTTCTCTCGGCAGGGAACGAATGTAGTCTTGTCAGATATGGCCATGAAGGTGAAAATGTATGTGAAAGTTAATCTTGTAAAAATGTCCGTCTTTTATTTCTGTCTTTTCAGTGTTGAGAATCTGTGACATAGATATAGCAACTGATTTATTTACTTTCTAAATATAAATATTCAAATATTAATACAAACATGCAAAAACTATGGTACTATTATGAAGCATATAGTTGTGGACGGCACCGAAATTTTCCTCATCTGGTGTTCTCTAAAGTGTGCCGACATCTCACTTCGTATGAGCCTCTAGCATTTCCTTTCTATGGTAATTTTGCAGCAGTGGCTGGGATTGATTTCCCAACCTTTAAGTCAGCAGCTGAGCACTCTAACCGCTCGACTGCCACGGTGGGCAGATGTTCAAATAAGCTCAGCCAATAGTCACTTTTTTGGCAAGGCATTCTATAATGTGTAATGTAATGAAAAGTCTATAATGCTTCACATACTTCTCAAGTTTGAGTGTACTCCTGTAGCTACATTTTACGGGTACTATTTTGCCAGACACTCTCTACTGACGACGTTAATATGCACAAACATTCTGCTGCTGTTCAAGATTTTGCTTGCTGTCCTTCACTTTTTTTTTATGCAGAATTATCGTGTCCCTTTGCTTTTGACATTGCTTATTGTGGCATGTTGATTCTATGAAGATGCAAGAGGTACTCGTCAGTGAGTCTGTCCTATTCTTACATCACTTTGTGTCAAATGTGGGCCCATATGAACTGATGCAGTGATATTCAGCACACTAGTCTTTGGCTTGGCAACCATGACACTCTTCTGCTACTGTGGTTGTGGGTTCAATTGCTTACTACGGCAGTTGCATCCTATGGTGACCCCGCTACTAGCTGCAGTAGATGATCACCGCGGGTCCACGCTTAGCGAGCCACAGGGCCGCAACTCCGTAACTTACCCGCATGTAGCGCACCGCTCCGCGCGCGCTCATCTAATAAGGAGTTTAGCGCGGGGCGGCAAAACAGTGTTCTAATGCAAAATACACAACACTTTATTGCCTCTGGCGGCACTCCGAACAACAGTACAACGTCCGCTCCCGGGACGCAGGTAGCAAAGGCACCCGCACGCAGACGTTCACAAAAAGGGGAAAACCGCAAGCACGTCGCAGCTGGCAATGGCGAGCTTTGACATGCGGGTTGGGAAAATGTCCCTCGCGGCTATGCTGTGCACTCTGACGATGGCCAATGGGCCTGGGCGCGAGTGTTAGGACAAACCTCGTATGCGTAGGCCTACGGCAAGTGCGGCTCGGTGTGGTACGACCACTTCAAGCACTACGCACCGCTGTGGGCTTCGCTTACGCTACCGAAGCTAGCACTCAAGTAAACACGCCTGCCGAGATGCCCAAGGCCACCTTCCCCCCAAGGCTACAGTCCGGCGATTCCCAAAGGGGACGTGGACGAAGGAAAACACGTGCTTACCCGGCGGTGACCACGGAGGAGAGAACGCTCCCTCGGCGCGCGCATACCGCGTGCCGCGCTCGTACGTGGCGCCATCTATCGCCACGCGTCGTTGTCAGAGCAGGAAAAGCAAAAGAGTGTGGCCGTGCGGCGAAATGCCCGCGAAATGGTCGCAGCCGCGCCTCAGATCCCCACAATCCTGATTTGGGCCAAAACGAAGGTGCTAGTCTACACAGGTTTAGCTCCACACTAGGGATTGAGCTTGACTGGGAAGCTCCACTTCAAGTGTCTGTATTAATTTGGACGTCAACACATATAGCTTGATCTGATTTAATTACAGCAGATGGTCCAAGGGTGGGTGACTCGTGTCCCGAATCTCCTTTGGGCAGCCCACCAGGTCAGGCAGGAGCCTCGTACCTGGCCAGTCCAACTAGCCGTGCATTGTCAGCTCCTGTCGACATCCCTTTGGCTACAGCCAACGAAAGCCTCATGGTGGTAAGCAAGCACTATTGCATCTGTCATAATGACGCAATGGTTGTAGCATTCAACTGCCGAACATGAGATCATACTGCAGTGAATACAGAATGCAAAAATTTCTGCAGTACATTGAGGAACATCAGGCAGCAGTTTTTTGTAAATTATTTGTGCTGCATACGCATGTGTGAATATCTCATACATTTAGAGTGAATTGTGAGCAGCTGTCCTCTTTCATTATTGACCGCAATAGATGGGCCCGAAGCACTTGTGAGGTTAACAGCAGGTAGCTCCTTGTGGTAGAAAATAAGAAAAGTGTCAGAATGTGAAAAATAACAACCTTACATCTCTGTCGCCCTAGAATTAAATTTAATAAAACTATCTTCTTGTACAGACTGTTATTCAATAGCACAGTGAAGCACAAACACAGTAGTATTTAAATACCATGTGTGCAAAACTAGAGAGGATCCTACAGAATGGCTTTATATAATAAACCTCTGCATGCAGTGAGATTTTAAAGTAGATTGTACAGCATGCTAATTAAATATGGTACTACTCGGGATCTGTTACGCAGGCATCTCCATCGTCTGGTTCTAATGAGACGAGTGACCGTGCAGAGCATCGTACTCGCCGTGTCACTGTTGGGGATGCCCCTCTTGGCTTACGGACTGCAGCAGGCCGCATGGGATCATCTGAACTGCTGCTTGATCCACAGTCTGCTGCCAGTGCTACGCCCTTATTCAAGTTGGGTTCAGGTGAGCACAGGCACATTGCCGCTTCACTGAAACAGGCGTACCTCTTATTTTTACACTTATCCTCAGTGTTAATGAATGCTGTTTACTATTTACGAAAACTGTGCTGATTTAGGCCAGTGCATCTGTCAATGCCATTAAGACACTTTTCAAAGCAAGATCCAAGTAAACGGGCACATAAGAGCGCAGGATGCTGTCGCAGTCAACCATGCTAAATGCGCCTATGCTATGCACTGTGGGCAAATTAAAAATAATTATAAAAAAATTATCCCGTGCTCTTCTCTGGGACTTATGGTATCCCCAGAGTTGTGCCATGTCACGAGTAGAATCTGGTCGTCAGTAGCGGCAAGAACCTGTTTGCGTACCTGAAGGCATGAGCACTCTCTGCTTTTCCTTCTCACATGGCAAGGAGGAATGCTCGGCCAAGAGGAGAGGTTAGCCCAGCGAAGGAAAAAGTAAAACGACCAAGGGCCATGTTTTTGTCATCAAACGCATGCAACCCCTTCATTGTGGCACCAATCCGAAAAATTCTCGTGGCTACATCTTCGTTGCAGACTCATGCACAACTGCAACACCGCAACCAAATTTAGACTTCCAAGTGGTGTATGGGCCCTTTAATATTCTCTAATTTCTGTTTTATTCATGTGCATGAAAGTACTGTATGGAAGTATGGAGGAAAGAAGTGTAAATTTGAAGGCTCGTTTTTATGCTTGTGCGAATATTAGAATGCTTCGAATATTCGAACGAATATTACAGTATTCGAGTTTGCTTCGACTCGAGTTGTTAAATTGCTGAAAATTTCAACGTATTCGAAATGAACGGATAGGTGTATACGAATTAATCCGCATGTAACTCTTCGTAAAGATGGTATCAGGGGGGACATGGCACATATAAAAACTTTTTATTTTGAGATAATTTTTGATGAAACTTGGCAAGTGTATGTATATATGTGTGCTGATATTAAATGTGCAATTATTTTTCTTGTGTTCAGTGTATTTTTTAAAATACTAAATATTTCGTGTGCCTTTTGGGGAGTGGGACTTTGTCCAAACTAAGAAAGTTACAAAGTAAATAAGCATATCAAAATGATCTGGAATCAAAGCTGACTGCAATGCAACAAAAATTAATGTTCTAAACCAACTAGAAGAAAAGGTATGGAATGTTGAACATTTGCCAGTGAAATTCTCTGTTTAAATTGACTCACACACAAATTCAACGTACCAACGTACCATAACTTTTGTTCAAATTGATTTAGATCATCCATTTTTGTAGCATTGCACACAGTCCTGATTCCAGATTATTGTGATATGTCAACTTACTTTGTAGCTGACTTAGATTTAAGAAAATCTTGCTCCACAAAAGGCCCATGAAATATTTTGTATTTTAAAAACTACACCATATACGAGGAAAATAATTGCACATTTAAAATCAGCACACACACATATATATAAGTTCGCCAAGTTTCGTCAAAATCAATCAAGCAATAAAAAACTTTTCTTTAAGAGCAGTGTCTCTCCTACACTTCAGTGGAGGTGCGCGAAGCCATGAAAGCACTTTTGCAAGGAAAATCTGCACTGCCGCAAAGCCTTTCTTGAAGGTTAAATGAACACCATACCCTCACATTCATTCGTCAATGGTAAAGTTTAAAAGCTTGTTACACCGGCTTATATGCTCTAAGCATAGCAAATTATAAAATCAACATAATTTGCAGGTTATGTCTTGCATTCTACAGGAAGTCAAATCCTGTTGCTATAAAAGTTGTTTCATCTTCCTTTGAACCAAAAAAATTGGCATTTGCACAGGCCTTGTTTCATTTTTGAAAAAGTACTGTACAGGTTTATTAGGTCATAACAAATAAGCAAGTTTTTCTTTTTAATATGTGATATATACTATTTGAATTTGATTCGGAATTATTCGACCAAAATCGTCATTTGCTTCAAATTCTCTTCCAACCTAAAATTTACTATTTGCACAAGCCTACTCGTTTTCTTTGTTAGGCACAATATCAGGTGCACTATGTTAGACAAGTGATCTGCCTTTTATGCTTTGTCTGCCGACAAAGAGATGTGTAAAGGACTGCCCATGTTTCGCTCTTGACGGAGCAAAGGTTGTAGCACTGAGCGCTCACACGCTGACGTCTTCTCCGTTTCCGAACACCTGAAGCAAGTCCGTCCCGGGTGAGCCTGTCTCTGGGGCCATCCGTGATCCTGGATCCAATGACGGTGCCGTACCTGAGCCCTCTGGTGCTTCGCAAGGAAGTGGAGAACCTGCTGGAACACGAGGGCGACGACTGCCTTCTAAGTGCTGGTTTTGTTGACCACCACCCCATACTGTACTGGAACCTGGTATGCTTTAAGTGTGCACTCCCTCCAAGTAAACTAGTACAGTAAAAGCTTGTCAATTCAAATTTCACATGACTGGGAAAACTGTCTGAATTAACCAAATGCCTAATTATCAAAAGTACCAAAAACCAATAAACAAATATTTATTACATCAATGCACTTTCATTTGCTTAGTCAAAGGTTTTTTTTTTTTTTTTTTACACAAAAGCAGTGTATATAAAAGATGCAGTTTTAGTCGTCTGTGGCTTCATTCACAATATGAACACAGCTCAAGAGTATGTCTCAATCTGAAATGTGCTCTGAACCCAAAGCCATATCTCATTACGTGCTAACAGTCTGATTGTGGGTCGTGGAGGAAGAAAAAGGAAGGAGGAAGCATGACGTCGCGCCGCCAGCCTTTGCAAGCCAACTCTTTTAAAAGCCAGCAGTGTCGACCCTACACGTGACCTTTTACGCAAGGTCACGCCAGCAACGAGACTCGCCGATAGTTTAGAGTGTGGCGGTCGGTAGCTTTGATGTAAAACACGCTTGTTCGGCACAGACCAGCCGGCTCACGCAGGAGGATAAAAAATGGAACAACACCGAGAGTACTAAATCATACCACGCGGTCGGACGTTTTGATCATGTGTTGGGCCGGCACTTCTCCTGTGTGACGTAATGCCTCCTCCTTTATTTTTATTCTTCCATGTTGTGGATGGTGACCAGGCCTTTCTGAAAACCTGCGGCCATTTTGGCCATTTGCGAACGCCGTTTTCATTCCCTTGCATTGCACATTTGCAGTGCTTCGGGCTCGGCGAGCTCCAAAAATAATCGGCGGCCAAATGTGACCGTATCAACCATTGAACATGCTGGCAGGCACCAGGAAAAATGTCCCAATCATCTGATTTTCCTAATTAACAAGCGTTGTATTAAAGAGCTTTCATGCTATGTGTAAAATCAATGCTACAAAAAAGTTCGGACGTTCAGCTTGCTACTAATCAGTTTTCAAGCCTATTTGCGACAGAAACGGGAACAAATAAAGATGTGCGGATGAGTGTCAGGAGTATCTTGAAGAAATTTGCTTATCTAGAGTTAGGGATATGTGTAATTATGCTGTAATAGTGCTGTAAGACAAATTGCGGTACCTCAGGAAACTGTTTATCTATAAAAAGTTATGAACACGCAGAACAGAACTTATGAGCACAGGAATGGATTGAAAAATGAGTTATTGCTGAATCTTATCTTGGCTGTGAAAAATTTTTGGGGGGCATTCAATTACAGTGCTTGTAATAGTTCTTTACACATCTTTAGGCTGTTAAACATCTTTAGTTATTATTAATTTATTATGCGCCTTATCTACCCATGCAATATTTTGTACCATATCTACCCATGCGGCACTACCATACTTACTTGCGTAATGAATGCACTGGCATAATGAACCCCCCCCCCCCTCACCTTGGTCATTAAAAAAGCAAAAAAACTTACATTTATTTGTTCACTTTATTTCACGGTGATAGACAGTGCCGTCGACGATCGAAACAATGTTAGATCAAGCCATTATATCACAAAAAAACGAAGCAATAAAACTCAAAACATAGTATCACAACAATGCCGAACAGTTGCGAGCAGCACAAGCGCGGACTTCAATTAAAATTTAAAACTCGTGTCTTTTGCAGCAAAGCGCTATCTGTCGAATGAAAGAGAAACCTGATTACTTATAGTGCTATGCAAGCACAGCGGCACAAAAACAAAGCGAAAATCAAAGCGCATGACCTCCAAGATGGGGGGTGCACAGTGTGTTTCTATGTCACGCGCCCGCCCTCTCAGAGGCCTTGCAAAGCGCAACCACGCCCACTGCACTGCGCACTTGCAACGTTTGTACGCCGCCATCCAATACTGCGTTCTTGTCCGATTTTTCGTAGTGAACTTAATGGGGACACCTGCTGCACAGGGCCCGTTTGGCCGGTACGCTAGCTACATGGCTGGTTTTAAACTGAAAGTTGGTCAAACATGCGCTGGAGCATGAGAACCGAGCGTTGGTCGACTCTTTAGCGCCGATCCGTGCGCTTTCGTTATTGGAGAAAACAAGAGCTTCGGGTTACAAAATATATTCGTCGCGCATTTCACAAGCCAGAACAAGCAAAACCGCCGTGCGAAATTTTCACTGTTATAACTTCCACGACATTTTTCTTCCGCATAATGAAACCTCCCACAAAATTGGCATCAACTTTTCTGGGAAAAAAAAAGGTGGGTTCATTGCACAAGTAAATACGGTAATATCTGTGCGTTGTAGTGGGTGGGGGATTTTGAAATATACAGTAGAATTTTATGAAATGGAATTTGAGGAGACCAGAAAAATACGTTTCATTTAACAGGATATCTCTTTACTGAGAGAAAAGTATGGGTGCAGAATGCAAATACCAAACCAATCTTATCAGAGGCAGTTGTTCCATTCAAGCAGCAGTTTTATTTAACAGATTTCTGTTCATTGAGAGTCTACTATTTGTTTATCTTCACCATTGCCATCCCCAGTAAGTGAACTATGGAACATTTCCTTCTCCCCTTTATTTTTCCTTCTTTATATAGTTTACCTTATTGAATTTATGGCAAAAATGCAGCTTTGATATTTGGTTTGGCCTTACGCAAGTAACTCCAGCATTATAGTGGGAACCAGACCATACGATGGGGTTGTGGCTCATGTAACAACATTCTTTGTGCAGATTTGGTACTTTAAACGGCTTAGTTTACCAAGCCATCTATCGGAACTGTGCCTGCAAGCTGTTTCTCTCCTCAGGGATCGCCAGGTGAGCGAAAAAGCCTTTCTTTTTAGATAAAAGTGAAAGTATTAAAGCACTCTGGTGGTGGTTAGTGTAGTATGCACACTCACTATAAGAAAGGCAAAGTGACCAGGAAATCTGTTCAACACATCCCTTAATTAGGAGGAGAAAGGAGCGTTAGAAATCGCTATTCTCCGTGCATTTTTTGTGTAATTTGAATTATATCCCAGAAGCCTCTGTCACCGAGGGTATGTTATATTGTGTATTGTAAGCATTTTGGACGTAGTAAATAATGTGCTTTGATTCTTGCTTTCTTCAATAGGTCCCTGAGCAATGGCAGTCTCTTGAACGGAAGATGGTGGTGATCAGCTGCTGCTGGGACAATCCCAGGCTGCATAACAACATGGTACCATACATGTACACGCAGCTTGGCAAAAACAGTTGAGTGAAACTGCTGCATTTATATTTTGTTGCCAGTGGCTACACCTGTACCTCTGTGTGCTCATTAAAAATTGAAAGAGCGATAAACAGGCGCAAATGTTTGGTGGAGAGCATCTCAACCTGCTGAATAGTTGTCTAATGACATTTACATTTGCTATGGCTTGAAGGTGAATTGGTTGGTTCTACATCATGGTAATGTCTAGCAGAAAAAACAAATCAGACTAAGTATGCATTGTGTCGTGAAATTGTCTTGCCCTTTGCCTTTTCTTCATTGTTAACCTTTCGGTTTATCATGTCTGATAAGGTCGGCCTTAGGTCGAGTAGTAAGTTCATACAAAGTTAAGCAGCAGGCTGCCATTGCATTTTCTTTTTCTTTTTTCTTGTGTAATTTCATTATGTTGGGATTATATTGCCTCCATCTTTGTTACCCTGCGAGCCAGTACGGTGTGCAAAGGAACATGTTTGTCTACCAGCATGAAAAGTGTACACAGGGGTGCAACAGCTGCACCAATTCTGCCAATTTGATACAATTTTTTTTTTCATTTTTGTGCCAGGCTGCGCCAAAACCATGGAATTGGCCAAAATTGCACTACGCTGCACCAAAATGCCCAACTAGCCTAAAGATTTTCCCACTTGCGCTAAATTCAGCGAGAAATGAAGGCTACGTTGGCCACTTGTTCAATCGATCCAGGGATTCAGGCACGCTGACCTTTACCATAAACTACGACTGGACTCTCACGAAACTATATCAACCACATGACATAACAATGCCAAGCACCTATCCGTCTGCTGACCGCAGCAGATACGACGCAACTTCAAGACAAAAATGCATTGCCATAGCCAAGCAACACTTTGCGGCAACTATGAATTAATTCAGTTTGCTAGCCAGCATGGTTATGGTATGCTAGGGACTGCCTGATGCTGGAAGCGTAGGCCGCTGTTACTGGACGTGAACAAACTTGATCTACTGCGCACGCAGTCATTGCAGGCGGCCACTTTGGTTGCCATAGCAACATCACATACTCTAGGTATGTGGGGGCCGTCGCCGGGCTTACGGGCACGTGCTGGTGTTACATTATCTAGTGAAACGCACCTTGCAAGCAAGCTGAGAAGTTGTGCCCTAAACATAACTCACTATAAAAAAAAAAAGGGGGGGGGGGGGGTTGGCTGTAGCGGTTTTAAAATTCTTGGCCTTTTTCTAACCCGTGCAGAATTCCGCTTAAGCCAGCTTTGCCGCAATACACTGGTGGCCTGCGCAAAAGCGCTGTTAACATCAGTCACTGGACACAGCACGGTTTGATCAATTACTTATGCATGTGTACTCTGCATAATTGTGAGTACTAGTATGATGGCTGACGTCTAAAAAGGTAATTGACAATCGTTTGGAGCACTGTATAACACTAGTGCAGCCCTAAAAAAAATCAAACAATACTGTGTGCTAGTTTTTTTGCTTCACCACCCCTAAGGTTGCCAGCTTGGCAGATCCACGTTTGAATCCTCAGCGTCTGTCAGAGCATTTGACTGGCATGGCAAATGCTAATGTGGACTTTACCATTGTTCGCTGAGTGGGGTGGTTCAAAATACAGTCAGACCCCCTTTATAAGAGGCACTGATATAACATACAAACGAATATAAAAGACACCAGTGTGTCCAGTGTAAAATGCGGGTTGATAAAAAAATGCATACGAGGTACCCGGCTTATAAGAGACATCTCATATAAAAGGCATGAATGGCTGCCTGGAGCATGCCTCTTATAAGTGGTACAACTGCATTATTTTTATTGAAATAGCAGCGCTCATATTCACTCTGCACGATTTAGGGGATGTTGAATGGTTTGTGCATATATTTTTTTCTGAATGTAAGCCTTCTTTTTGATACTGCTCCAAATTTGGATTTTAGTGCTCTCAAAGTAACATTTTGCTGCTCTGAAAATTGCCTTGAATTCCACTTCAGCTGTTGCATGCCTGTGTACATCAACTCTTATGTTCTTCGACAGACATGTCCTCCTTGGTGCAATCACTGGTCACGGAGGACAACAAACCTACGAAAAGGTGAGTGTGTTGTAATGAGTAAGCCACTTCCTTCCTTTCCAGCTGTGCCTATCATCGACACAAAGAGCCAAACTTGCCTATAAGTTCTCTTCTTATTTGCTCCTTTTTGTATTCATTGTGGCAGGCTTGCAAATTTCAGTTTACTGGAAGTATGGTGAGTTACCTTTGTAATAACAGATGCGTAGAGCACGAGAAAGAACGACAAAACATATGACTGGACGGACCCTTCAGATGTCTGTATAGTGTTTATGATACGAGTCTCCTGCACCTTTTTGTTTTCCAGGAAGAAAAGCTCACGAGGTGCAACATAGCCCACTGTAGTATAGTGTGATGGCAGCTGCCATGTTGAACTTATTCTTGTCTAGGAGAATTTACTAACCAACAGCGTTGACTCACTGGTTGTGGTGTACTGCCTCAGAATACAAGGTCGCTGGTGGAATTTCAGGCTTGCGCCATCAGCATTCTGATGAAATTCCATATTTATTTTTTGAAGCCAGGGTCAAGAACCAAAGCTTTAGTCCCATTCACTTTTTGTTGGTTGAGCTGGTAATTTGTAGACGTAGAAAAACAGGTGCTGTCATTTATTTCCAGAAAGGTGAATGGGAACTGCAATATTAGAAGAATACAAAGACAAGAGGAAAAAAAAAATGTAGAGGGACCATTGATGCACAAAAAAATTAGTTTAATTGTAAACTGCATGCTAATTCCTTTGCGCATGCAGGTCTGTTTTCTCACCTGTTCTTGTACGGCTTCATTCTGGTACCCTTTCCCATTGACAGCCTGCGGGAACGAGTGCTGAGTTGTGTGCAGCAGAGCAATGTGCGTGAGGCGGTGGAGCTGCTGGTGAGAGAGAGGCACAAGGCACGCAGCCAGCAGCGCCGGCCCAGTCTCTATCGCGATGTTCTCTTCCTGTCCTTGGCCACCCTTGGCAAGGATGCTCTCAACCAGAGTGAGTAACCCTGGCCTTGTTGCTCTTCAAAGATTCCAGCCCATAAAATTTATTGTAGTATTTACTTGTGAACTTTAGTAATTCCTATTCTCATTTCAGAGCAGGGGGTGTAACAAAGTTGCAATGTGGCCTTGGGAACTGCACATGAGATTGGATATAGCAATGCAGACCTCAAAACTGTGTAGGAAAACATTCAAATTTCGAAACATCCAAACTAGGCCAAATCTTAGTTTTGATCCAAATGTCAAAGGACAAGTTAAGAAAAGCTGTGTAAGATGAGAACATGACGAAAACTCAATGTAGCATTGTATAGCTTGTGGTCATGTGAGACTGAGCGTTATTAAGTTGTTTATATTTTGATATTCCTTCAATTATATATCTCCTTTAGATACCTATGAATAAACGGCTAGCTTTTTTTTAAGTGCCATCTCTTCCACTGCATCGCTATGCATACAATGGAATTAGCTGTTTATTTTTTTCATTGCCTGACTGGTGTTGCTTTTTTTCTAATGTCTTAATCCTTCTTGAGTCGTATCAACTGAGCTTTGTAAATGAAGAGCATTTTGCCCAAAACAATAGAGTCACCTTTACGTCAATGTTTTCTGCAGATTTGTTCTACCGTGACTATGTCAAAATTTACGAAGAACTGGCAGCCAAACGTTCTGCATTGTTCAAGTGCGACAAGTACCCGTCAGTGCGTGCCATGCTTTGCCGCAAGTACTTCAGGGACTTGGAGTTGAAGCCGTCCTCTTCCACTTGATGCTGTGAATGTTCACATTGACTCTGAACAAGTGGTATGCTGTGTTTGCACCATACACTCAATCTAACGGAAGAGGTGTCGCTTCACTCTTCGGCTCCGTCATGGTTTGACGCCGAAGAGCTTACGATCAAGACAGTGCAGCGGATTGTTGTTGAAATTGTGAGAACACTGTTGCATTTGTTTCTCTTAGCAAATGTAGTCCACTTACAAGAGTGCTACGCCTTCTTGAGCGATGTTAAATAGCCTATATCAAATAATTTACAAAAGCAGTGCATTGTCTTATTTATACACTAATGTGTGGTTTGATGATATAGTTGACCCACCGTTGTTAATTTTTTGTGCATGGCATTGTATAGACATACAACAATTTTTAAGCGATAAAGAAAAAAAACTCATCAAAATGTGCCACAAAAAGCTGAAGCAATGATCCAGCTAGTTCAGAGTCAGGCCTTCAGAAATGCCCCCATAAACTTTGTAGGTGTGATTAATGAGTGTATAACTGCTTTGTTATTGCCATGCTCCCTTCAGCTAGGGTTTTTTTTTTTTTTACTAATAAAGATGTCATGTTCAATCGTGTATACTAATTCTGTAAGCACTTGACTAGGTTTTTCTCTTAGGCACAGGCATTCATGTCATGCTCACTCATAAAATTGCAGCAAAAAAAAAAATAAAGGCTGGGGCCCTATTTAGTAACAATTTCGTTGTTTTTTTCTCTCGTTATGCTTTCGTCATCATCACTGGAACATATGCCACCATTATATTGCTTGCATCGTCTCACTGGCATAAGAAATGATGGATGATGAAAAAGCTGAACAGTAGGAAAATGATTGTTACTAATTGTGGCCCCATTCACCGTTCTTCGTGAAACTTGTCATGCTTACATGCTGCATTCTCATTTCATGTAATCGGGCTGTACTTCAACATCTTTTCAGCCATTGGTGTTGGGCAGCTGCCATAGATGGTAGCAGCAACTCATTGTGTGCAATGTGCTCTTACCCGAGTGTCTCCTGCTTGTTTAAAGTGAATTTAATACGCATGTGTGCCGTTGTTGTTGTTGAACTGGCGCACTTGTCTTCATCCAACCACTGTTGAAATCACTCTGCTCATGCGTACGCCAACATGCATGCGGTAACCATCATGCCAGCACACACAGTGACTGCTTAGAAGTTGCAGCTACACTTGTATGATAACACACTGTACACTACATTGCAACTATACATGCATATATTATATATATATACATATATATTATATATATATATATACTGATATGTTTTTTTATGAAGTTTAGTAAAAGGGTTATGGAAGATGTGGTCTTTCTGCTTTTTGCAAGACCTGTGACAGGGTCTTGGAAATCATAACTGGCCCATGAAATGTCACATAGGTGACATATTGTTTCATAACATTGTTTGTTTGTGTTGTGTTTGTTACAGTGTACTGTGTCATATTTTGTCATTGGTACAGTAGAAATTTGTTATGTCATGTTTCTTAAATCAAGGGTCAAATGCATATCAGCACGTAAAACTTATGTGAACTTCATCTTCATTTAATTTCAGTGTTTTAGGTGGACTGATATTATTATACCATATTTTGATGCAGCATGACAATCCAAAATGCAAAGGCAAACATAGTTAAACGTAACATTTTCAGCTGTATGGACTGGTAGAAACATACGACTGTTTTACCTCCCTTGCCATGTGCAGTGTGATTCATCGTAGTTCTATTATTCTAATGTAACTCTAAATGTTTTCAGTAGTTATACACTCAAACCTCATTATAACAAAATTGCATCTTACTAGAAAATAAGTTTGTAATATAAAAAAATTCTTTATAAAGGTTATTCATAATACTGTATCTTTGGCAAGGCTATTTTTCATTTACTTCATTATCACTGATATTTCGTTATATCGGTGTTCGTTATATTGAGTCTGTGTGAAGTTGCACATGTCAGCCTCATCAACAAGTCAAACACATGCAGCAAAGTGAAGTTCAATGTCTCTTTTATTTGCAATATTCGCAGACATTAGTTAAGCTGTCTTGTGAATTCACGCGTTTACTGAGATTGCTATACAGTTATGCTTAGTTCTGCATTCGCATTGAATGTTATTAACTCATCAAGCAAGCTTGCCGATGATAAAGCTGATTGAAAAAATGATTTATTGCTTCCACAACCCCACAAAAAGAAAACATTTCTTATAGGGATCATTTAAGGCCACTTGAACCTCCAGTGGGTTTCGTACTGCACAAAGGCTCTTGATAAGAAGATGAAGGTTTAAAGAGAAGCAGTGTAAGCTTCTTTCAGCTTTTGACCTTTGCACCTGCTATAGACAGCACATGCCAGAGTCTGGTGTGTACAGAACACAAACAGTACGTTCCTAGAATGTGCACACACTGACAGAGGGATTGAAAACTGTTCCCGCTGGACAATCAAAGACATAGATTGCGTAGGTGCCACCAGCTAGCAAAACGCACCGGTAAAATCTGTGTAGATCATTTGGATATGGGTAGAAGCCATCAGCAGGACATGTTAACTCTGGTGGGGCTGTTGTTGATGTAGGCACACTTGTCGTAACAACACTGACGTTAGTGTCACTTCCTGATTTAGAAGCCCCTGATGTCGTTGATTGCAAATTAGTTTCTTTAGTTGACACTGTTTCTGCTGGTGTTGACTTTGCTGGGGTTGTCGATGGCAAACTTGTTACTGTGGTCGGGAGTGGTATGGTGGTGTTGCTTCGAAGTGCATCTCTTATAGCTCTCAGCAGGGGGTTCTTCGCTCCTCCGCATGTTCCCGAGAAGTCGTCTGTTTCAATGGACCACACCATGGCACCAGCAAGGCCGAGGGACCGTGCAAACAGGACCTATTGTGCAGGAAAGCAACACATTTGTAGAAACTGCTCTTGTAGTTAAGCAGATTGCTTTTCACTTTCTCGTATCATTCGTAACATATAGAGACTAAACTTTTGTGTTGATGTAATCAAGAGGCTGTGTCAACCTTGAACAAGCAAATCTCCGATTGTGCTTTGAAGTGAGCCTCCATATATGCTTCCGCTATATGACGAAGCCAGGGTATCGGCAAGATCCATGGCAAAAGAAAGAAAGCTTAGTGCAAGAAGTAACTAAAGTCGTTCTTATGAACGAATTGCATTATTAGCCACTTTAAGCATTGCCACCAAAGCACAAGAGTACTTTAGGTTTTTAATTTACCTAATGCATGTTTATCTTGGGAGGCATGAATTAAATAACATGATCATGTGCGAGGTCTTCATGGCATCTGTCATGCTGGAAACATGTTTTTCTGGAACGCATGTTAGACACATTGAAGGTACAAAGCTTATCAGATATACAGGTCACCTTCTTAAAATTCCGCCAGGAACCGTTTTCTGCTAAGGTGTGACTGGGGGAGGCATGTGTGTTTCGTTGAGCCCACCTGGCATTGTGTAGTCTGTAGTAGAAAGCTATGTGGCCTATGTAAAAGATGGAACCCTATCTTGTAAGTGAACTGGGGCAGTATGTCAAAAATTAAGAGAGCTGATATAGCTTCCTGTGACCATTTCTCCTGGCATTCTCAAAACTTTGCGGTTCTATGTTGCTGCTCGAGTCATGTCAAAGAAGCAGAAGTAACTTAATGTGTTTGCTCACTTCTGCTTGCGCTGCTTATTGAGCCAGTACTATGGAAGCCATTTTATCTAAATAGTGGGTTCTTGAAATTGATGGTGTGCACCTGTCACTCTAGCAGCTATCGAATTCCTTACTTTTGCCGTGAGGCTTTGAGCATCATCGTAGCCGATCCACAGGTTTCCTTTCACAGCTACTGGGGCAACCACCCTTGGGTCTCGGGTTATTTTCCAGTCTTTAGATGCTTTCAGCTGGGCACATATCTGAAAAATTGCAAGTCGGCGAAAAATTCTATGGCTTTCAATCGAGTTTCTGACAGTGTGAAAAGGAACTGGCACTACAACGAAACAGCACCACTATGAATCACTGCGATGAAAATTACCGGAGGCACAAACAGCACAGCAATTTTGGCAAGGTGGCCACGGGAAATTCATTATCAAACCACCATTTTAGGGCAACAGCAGCATGCATGCCATTAGTGGATGTAGCGTTTGATTTTCTGAAGTGCTTTGGTACAATCTGGGTAAGTGGCTGCTTGTCTGCAGAGTAAGTGTGCAAGGAGTACACGGAAAACATATAAGCAACATTCATTATTATTATTTTCTAGGATTGCACTATTATATTTTTTTCAGACTGCAGGAAAGAGCACTCATTTGTGTAGAGCCCGATATGTTTTTACTGCTACAGCTGGCTATCATTCTTGTTTCGCGTGTAACATGCATGTGCCCGCAAATAGAATACACCTCATAAAAGCAGGTTGCCTTAGCATTCGAATTCACGAACGTTTAATTCAGTGTTCTGTTTTAATGTCCTATAAAAAAAATTGATGCGACTAATAACTATTGGTGCAAAAACTGAAAACAGTGAACCTGGTCGCCTCTCTTTCCTGACCCTAATTTCCTTTTACCACCCCTTGGGAGCACTGCACAGCCCCTCTTGGACTTCTACCAAGAATAAAATAAGAACGGTCAGACTTATGACTCGTGAAAGCATCTTTGTTTCTCGTGCAGAGCTGCTTCACTAGAAGTGAACGCAGTGCCACAGAGCATGCGGTTTCTGCTCTTTCAATCGAGGAGTAGAATATTATTAGAATAAATTATTAGAATAAATCGGGGAATTTCGCCCTCGAAGCCACATCTTGGATTGAAATGACAACTTAAAAAACAAGGCTGCACTTACGGGGGCGAAGGGAGGCAGGTCGACCTCGGGAGGGGGGGGGGGGTTCAACTTATGAGCCCCCCACCCCCGTCGGTGCGCCACTGATGTAGGTGACTAGGCAACAAGGACATTGGGGGTTATAATAGGGGGTTTAGGTCGGCCTCTAGAGTCTTGATAGTACGAGCTATACATTTATTTGGTTTGTGTTTTCGCCGTGGCGCAGCGTATGTGCAGCTTCAGCAAAGTTAAAACATGCTAATAGCTTATGATGTTCGTATATTTCAGCCCGGAGATAATGCACTCTTTTTTTTTTTTAAGGGGCGAAGCTGCTTAAAGGGGCCTTGAAACACTTTATAAGAGCTCATTGCCTCACGAATTCAACGCCACAAAAATTTTAAGAATCCGTCCAGTGCGAGTGGAGTTACGAAGGTTTGTCGCATGCTGCAATTGCATTCTCTCTTCTCTCGTCCCGACGAAAGCGCTGGAAGCTAATCATGGAGGGATGGCAGGACCACAGAAAAACGTCACGCGCGCTTCGCGACCTTGAGCACTTTATTTCTCTCTTTTTTTTCTTCGAATGCGTGGTTTTTCAGTGTGATCGCGCGCGCACGCATGGACAAGTAGCAGCCTCCCGCGGTGATCTCTGTAACAAGCGAGTGCGCCATGTTCAAATCAGCCAATGGCTTGTATATGGGTCGTTGACGTGCGATTATTGGCCATATAACGTGATTTGTCGAGAGAAAGCAATTTTTAACTGACTTTGATAATTTATTGTGAATTCCAGGCCACGTGCTGTGCTATCATATTTGGCTCGCGTGTTGTCGGGAGCCTCTACTACAGATCGGCAGCGTTTTCTGACCCTGCTCAGAAAGTGTAGCAGGGCCCCTCAAGGCGTGGGTCGTGCCTCCCATGTATGTATGTAGCAGTGACCTCTCGTTTTAGTCCTTCGAATGTCTGCTAGATGGCGGTACTTGCAGTTATATGATGAAAAGGTGCGGGATGGTGGTACTTGGAGTGTTTCACTAGATGGACGGATGAACAGGCGAACGGACGGACGCGGCCAGCGGATGATTCGCAGTTTGCCGATAAAACCCTTCGAAGCTTCCCCGCTCTCATCATCATTCCCTCCGTGGATATGCAATTTTTTTTTCTGCACGCAGCGCAAACGCTGAGATGTATCCACCTGCAGATAATCGCGTCAAATGCACTTTACCTTGACTAAAATGTCGAATCGTGAAGTTCCGTCGACAGCCGGTTACTGCCAGCGGCCCGCAACGGCTGCCAGTGTTTCCGCAAACAAGGGACATCGTTATTCACACAGCACACACTAGTGACACCACACGCAATAATCTCCGTTCGTAAAGGTGAATCAGCATTGCCGATGCCTTTCAACCCACACTATACGCTACAGTAAACAACGCACATTTTCGATAACTATACCGTTGTTCCTCGCGCATGCCGGCACGTGTGTTTAGGTTTAGTTCCTCACGGAAGGCGCCACAGCCAGCGCGGCGAGTATTTCGTCACGCAGTTTACTACACATCTAGATGTTATCTGGCACCTACCTCATCCAATCTTGCCACAGTAAGCTGAAGTTTAAGCGTGAAAAAAAAAAAAAGGAAGCAAACTTGGTCAGATGCGTGAAACCACACCACGCTGACGCATAAGCGAGAATGTTAGCTTGCACGTGCGCCGGTGACGTCACGCTGTGACGTACCCATGCACAGTGGAAAAATGTTCATTGAGGCAAAGTTCTCGGATTACTGTACAGCAGAGGCAGGCTGCGTCTGTTTGACGCCTGGCGCCGTCTGGCGGCCCGCTTGCCAGGGTATGGGCCTCTGCCCAAAACAAATCTTCCCTCTCAACAAACCCTGGGAGGGAGGTAGTGCCGGGACATACGTACGGATGATGATGGGTTGATGAGTTACGTGAGACTCTGGGACAAAGTGCCTCTGGACACTGCGTCTCCTTCCTATCTGACAACAGCAAGGCGGTCACAGGAACAATGCTTACCTCAATGTAGCCGAGGTAGCCTGATTCTCCAGTCACGGGACCGGCTTGTCCGGGACCAACTGTGGGAGCCAGGAAGCCGTCGTTGCTCGGGTTGGCCAGCGTGAAGGTGCGACCATAGAGGGGCATGCCCAGCAAGAGCTTGTTCGGCTCCGCACCTTTGTTGAGCCACATCTTCATGGCTGTCTCCTGCGGAGCAATACATTTTTCATGAATTGATCGAGGTAAGAATTAGTGCCTCTACCGGTGCAGTTTCGACTACTTAATGGTTTTCACTGAGGGAAAAAAAAACGGCAGATCCCACGTAATCGACGTTATGCAAATCATGCGAGGGAAGGTGTCCATGTTGTCATTTCTTTATTGAGCGACGGGTCATGATATGACACTATATATATGCATAAATGTTGCATGCACAGGCATATGTTGAAGAATTACAGATGTTAGTGTAACCAGTTTGCACTTGCTCAACGATGTCAACAGGAACATGAGTTCACCAGAAGCGATAAATTGATATGAAATGCTGGTGCTCGCGAGTACGGTAGTCCTGGACACTGCTACATAAATCAGCTCTAGCGCACGGCGGCGCCAACTACAAATGACGTTAACCCGCCGTGACGGTAGTATCAAAGGAGTACATATGCAAGCCTTATAAAATCAGACAGTCAGCACAGCAACCACAACTGGCCTTTCACTACTGTTTATTTGAAAAGCAGTTCAGAGGCTTGGCGTCGCTCTGTGGTAGAATGCTTGAATGCCACGGATCGGGTTTGATTCCTGTTGGAACCCTGACATTAATTCTTTGCATTCGCCGGGCCAACGCTGCAGCCGATATCAGGTTTTCCCTAACGCTCAAGCGTTAAAATTCCCCATGTGTGTTCTCGTCGTTCGTGGGTATAGATACTAAGTGCCAATCACCTGTAGCACATACCCGCATACCAGCGGCACATACCCGTCCTTGGGTATGTGCCACTGCCTGGCGGGAAGTATTTGAAGGCGTACGCGACGAAATGGCGACATTATTCATGTCTTGACCAGCGCGTCGCATATTCGTCAAACCATCTTACCCTCCCATGCTAATGTTGGTAGCACCCAAACGATAGCACCCAAATGTAGGCTGCTATATATCTATTTCTCTCTCTCTCTCTCTCTCTCTCTATATATATATATATATATATATATATATATATATATATAGAGAGAGAGAGAGAGAGAGAGAAGAAAGTGTGTAGCCGCGCGCTAGCCGAGGTTGTAGCACACTCTTTTGCGCGGCGTGGATATCTTGCGCGGACGTTTCAGAAGCATTCTTAACAGATTTTAGTTTAATCGTTGCGATTAATTCACCCCCCCCTTTTTTTTTTTCACTTATGCACTTTTTCCCGAAAGTCGCGAATTGCCTCTAGCGTCGGCAGCCTGCGCTCTGGCAATGTCGATTCTCCAGAACAACTTTTCTTGGCAGTGAAAAGAATTATCCAAAGCGGGCGTGCGCCACCGCTGAAGGATATGGTCGTGTTTTCCCAGTGAAAATCGTAAAAAAAACAACAACAACGTTACCATGTTCACAAAGAGACGCTACATGCAGTATAGGATATATTTATATTTGTTTTACTTTACGCAGCGTGAAAACGTCGCACGCTTTACGTGCACGGTGCACCTCACAGCCCAAATGGCATCTTCGTTTTCAGGTGAGCGCTCGTTGCCCTCCAGCTATGTTGATGACTCGCCGATGGAGCTTGTGACGAATTTCACCCACAAATGGCTGTCTAAGCAGGGGTAGCAAATTGTATGCAGTGTTCGAACAGAGTAACACCATATTCAAACACGGCTGTATTTCGACACACAAGCCGAAGCGGACTGCGCGGAGGAATACATGTGCAGTAGCTCGGTCTTCGTCTTGCTACTAATGCGCTCTCAACGCCTCCTATAAGTACAGGAGGCGTTGGCCCTCTGCCAAAACGGTGCTTCCTTCTGCCACAACGGCAGAGGGCAGCACCGTTTTCGCAAAGCGCAAGGAGTCTTTCCTTCCTCCATGGCAGAGGGCATTAGTTGCAAGACGAGGACGGAGCACGGAGCTACTGCACATGTATTCCTCCGCGCAGTCCGGTTCAAACGGCAGAGGGCAGCACCATCACTCCCTAAGGAGCTCGTTTAGCTAAAGTGTTCTAGAAGGTTTTGAAAGATATTCTAGTTCACTGTAGTTTAGCTGTGCAAACGCGCGCTCACACTGCGAATAGGAGGAGTGGCGCAAAGAAAGAAGCGACTCCTTTTCGTAGTTCCGGCATTAGCTCCTTATACGTAATAGATTTGGCCGGCTTCTGTTCGAACCCATCTTTAATTTCGTTACTGAATTGCGCCAAACGTTGAGTTGATTTGCAAATTCTAAGACCATCTACTGTATTGCAACAGCTTAACTTCAAGAAAGACACGTGGTAGTCCGTGACGTCATACTGACGTAACAGTGCTGAGCCGTAGCGCCACATTTGAAATATGATAGTGTAGACTCGTTCAACACATATCGTGGAACTGACAAAGAAACGGTTCTGACTGTTCATGCTATGCGTTCAATGTAATTTAGTGACTCCATGTGTAGGCAAGACAAGGCAAGCGTCTTTGAAGAACTGCGAAAGAAAAAGTAGCTTCCAGCTTGCGATTACCCGAATTAAAATCTTAAATCAAGCGTGACTTTATCAAAATTGCACCATGTGCACGAATTATACTATTATACCAAGCAGATATGTTTGCAGTTTGCTTCTACGCATGTATACATGTATGTAATGTACCGAAACGAATTTGCACAAGGTGCACAATTTATACTATTCTGCGAAGCAAGCATGTTTGCATGTATCTATGTATCGAGACGAATTAGCAGTAATTAATGCATGGGAATGTGTAATTATTACATAGTTGCAACCCAGACGTCTAGTTCTTAAGAAAGCTAGTTATTGCCATTAAGAGATGGAAATTATGACGTACATGCGAAAAGAAAACTAAAGCTCACTACTGCTACTGACTGCTACTACTGATATTACTCCTATAAATCGAAGTTCATGCGCGCAACTGTTTCATTATGCCTTTTTCTTTCTCTTCTTTCTTTAATAAGCTAATTAATGAATATTCGCGTAACAAAAAAGCGTATTTTTCATTTTAATCTTAAATTTACATGAGCCCCCGTGGAAAAATCATGGCCTCGCTTGTTTCGGTTAGTAGTAGTAGTAGTAGTAGTAGTAGTAATAATAATAATAATAATAATAATAATAATAATAATAATAATAATAATAATACTTGCCACGTTGAGCTTTTTCTCTTCTTCGCTGGCGTTTTGGCGAACGCCTAGCGGTGAGCAGTGCCCCGTGTAGCTGTTCCAAGCCCCGAAGAAGTCGTACGCCATTACGGAGACGTAATCAAGGTACCTGGGATTTAGAGCGCAGTATATGACATCCGATAGCGGTCGCCATTATATGAGAAGGCGTATTAACATTCCACGTGCAATTACCGTGCATGCATCAAAAGCGTGCGTGAAGTTTTCTGTTTTTTTTTTTTTTTTGATATTAGGATGACCGAAACCTTGTGATCGCTGGCACGTCGTATGCCCCGTCCACAATGCTCTCCCCGGCAGAGACGGCCGCCGTCAAGAGCCGTCCTGGACCGAGAACTCTCCGCAGCTCCTACGCGAAAGCAATCACAGCAATGCTTCGTTATAACGAATTCTTCGGGGCTTCAAATGCACCTCGGCATTTTCAGTTAAAAGCGGAGGTGCCCCGAAAGAGGAGGGGTAGGGCGAAATACTCTACCACGTGCTGCGTGGAAGTTTGGCCAAAACGGATAACGTGAAAGCAGAAAAGATATGGAAAATTAAAATATCATTTTTGTTACATTCGATACATTGCGTTTACAATGGTATTTTAATTATTGTTAATTAGCTATCTGATCTCACAGTAACAAATACCTTCAGTCAGGGGTGAATATGATTTATCCAGGAGGGAGGCGGAGTCAGCTCATGGGAAGTTGATACCTAAAAGCTGAGCGTGAGATGTCAGCACCCACACACAGCTTGTACATTAAAGAAATACAGCTATGGAAGGAAGGGTGTCAAGATGTCGGCCTGCTCCCCCCCTCCCCCACTTCTGGATCCGCAGATCACTTCGGTTCCTCAAGTGGAACACGAACAATCCTCGGTTAAATTCTAGCACTGCACGTGGGGTTTTTGGAAGACCAACGTATATACAAGTTACAGCTGACCCCGGCATTGTAAACGTGTGCGATGCTGGGCGGATTTCCCGCTTTGCACAAAGTCGCACGTGCAGACTAGCGTGGCTGAACATTGGGGAAGTACCGCAGCCAGTAAATTAAAAAAGATTAGATGAAGAAATTTCGCTACCATCGAAAAAAAAGAAAAGAACTCTTTTTTCTTGCGTGAGGCCTAATTTGCTATGTATATCACTTTCTTTAAAGAGACACGCTCACTCTCTTTTTGGTTTCCACGACTCTCCCAAGTGAGTCCGATGGTGAAAGAGAGTTCATGTGTATTCTAAAGACAGTCATACACATGGCAAGCCAGTACTCACACAAAAATAGAGTCACATGACTTTTTTCTTTAGCGTAGAACGAGGGTTCGTGGCAGGAAGTGGAGTCTATAGAGCTGCGTGTTCGTTCGCTTGTACATGCGTGAGGTGTACCTGTATCAACAACACGAAGTTCTGCTTGTCTTGTGGCACACCTCCCCTGGCCGCCGGGTACTCCCAGTCGAGGTCGAGGCCGTCGAAGCCGTGCTTGTCGAGGAAACTCAACACGCTCAGCGCGAAGCGTTGGCGGCCCTCCGGGGTGGAGGCCATCTGCGAGTACTTGATCGAGCCCTCGTTCCAGCCACCGATGGCCAGCAGCGTCTTCAGGTGCGGATGCGCGACCTTGAGTTTGTTCACTTTCTCGTACATGCCTGCCACAGAACGAGTATAAACGCGTGATGTTTTTTAAGTGTGAATACACTTTATAAGCGACCCCAAACCATCCACCGCCGTCGGCGGCGTCCGCAGCCTTCTCTCTATCTTTAAAAGAAAGAGGACTTGGCGGGCCGCAGCGCGACGCTCTACCGAATAAGCCACGGACGCGCTGATATCGGTGTCAGCCTTATACCCCCTCCCCCTTCGCTCGCTCCTCCGCTCTCCTCGCTCGCTGCAGCTGCGCGCGCACCCCTCTCTCTCGCGCGCCCGCCTTCTCTCTCAGTCTCCCGTCGAGAGCGGGTCGTGAGGGGGAGTAAAGTTAAAATCCGTTGGCATTCGCCAGTGAGTTAACGTAAACTCCCCCGTGTGATCAAATTGCGATTCCCAGGAACCATTACACCATAAAGGCACCATAGTGTGATGAATAAATATAATAGTGCGAATTAATAAATACCCCTCATAGCATCACCCCGTGTATTCGCACTTAACCATGTTCACCCTCGGGGAAATGCTTGGGAGTTTTTTTCTTCTTTTTGGCATCAAAAGCTTACGTCATACTGTGGTAGATTTACGCTGTTCATGTTTTGATGCGCTGCCAGGTAAGACACGCACCGAAAAAAAAAAAAGAAACGTAACACAGGGTGATGCGGGAACTAACAACTACTGTTTGGTAAGAATTCTACGCGCATAAAATAGACGAGGACTTCTCAAAATGCTTGCCAAAATGTATTACTACCAACTAGTTCACCTCTCTATTCTTATACACAACAGCTGCTTCACTTCGAGCATGGACAGACTTATGTACAAGAGAGAAAGGAACACGAAAGGAAGGGATGTGCAGCAATAAAAAAAAAACAGTAGACAAAATAAAAAGTAAAGAAAGCACATCGGGGTTTCAAATAATGTCCTACCTGGCTACGCATCAAAACACGAAGACGTACCAACAAGCCTCTATTGCAGCCTTATTAGCGATTTCCGTCGCAATTATATAGGAACCTTGAATTGAAACAAACCGAATTCCCATATCACATATCTTCACACCGTCCACTTGTTCAAAATAAAACTTGAAAATCTACTCGTAAGCCGTCAGTCTTTTGTTATGTATTTTGTATGAGTTTTCAGTGTGGCTCTTTTTTTGTTTACTCATTAAGAGTAGGGTAGGGGGAAGTAAAACGAGACACGTGGCATAACGCGACATTTTCACTTTGCCGGCCCCTGTATCTAATACAAAAACTATTTTTTTGTGTGTCTGTTTTCCAGCTACAAGTTCCGGTCTCTATCTATCTTTTCATGTGTGAAAGTTGATGTGCCGCTGGTATGAGGGCATTTGACACAGGTGATTGACACTTAGACACTTATTATCTACCCAAGAACGACGAGAAAAGACATGGGCAATTTTAACGCGTCAGCGGCACCAGCCATCGGTAGCGTCGACCGATGGAATACCCGGCACCGGTAGCGCAGACCCAACGAAAACATAGAATAAATGTCAGTGTTAAGAAAATCCCCACATAGGCAGCGTTGACCCCCAAACGAATGCAAATAAATTTCACAGTCCCAGCAAGAATAGAACCCAAGCATCCTGCGTGGAAGTCGAGCATTCTACCACAGAGCTACGCCAGGTCTCGGAACTACTTTTCAAATAGACGCTAATCTTCGTGAAATGTCAATAGTGGTTGCAGTGCTGCCTACTCAATTATCTAATCATTACATATTCACTCCTTTGATACAGATGTCACGTCGGGTTAACGTCAATTGTGGTTAGTTGCCATGCGCTGAAGTTGATTTATGTAGCAGTGCCCAGGGCCAGCATCATCGCGAGCATCAGCGTTTCATATCAGCTTCTGGTGTTGCTAATACACATGTTCCAGTTGACATAATTGCGTAAGTGCGAACAACTGGTTATATAAACATCTCCAACTCTTCAACATATGTCTGTGCGTGCAACATATCCTGTGCGTGCATCGTATATGTACATATATTTAGCGTCATTTCATGACGTGTTGTTCAATAAAAAAAAATGCAACACGGTCGCCTTCCCTCCGCATGCTTCGTATAACGTCGATTCCCAGGTACGTGTGATCTGCCGAATTTATTTCTTTTGGTTAATTTGACTGTCCTTTCTTTTGCTGCTGAAATAGTCAAGTACATATGTTGTCCCTGAACATTTGCTGACTTTTCAAGAGGTATTAGATATCAAGAAAAATACTTCCACGCCTCAATATACACAACTCTACTGAGGGATGAGCGAGAACATTTTGCAGGGGATTGACTGATATGTGGGGTTTAACGTCCCAGAACCACCATATGGTAATGAGTGGAGGGCTCCGAAAATTTAGACCACCTGGAGTTCTTTAACGTGCACCCAAATCTAAGCACACAGGCCTACAGCATTTTCGCCTTCATCGAAAATGCAGCCGCCGCAGCCGCGATTTGATCCCGCGACCGGTGGGTCAGTAGCCAAGTACCTTAGCCACTAGACTGTGTACCCCGGCGGGGCGCCGCAGGGGAAAGTATCGGTGCATTTATCGGTGAAATTATTACTCAAATTTACGAAAAACGTGATGAATAGGGGCTAAGATAGCCTCTCTCAGAAACCAGCAAAAAAAAAAGGGGGGGGGGAATTATTCAACATCTTGATTGATACGTTTTATATATATCTTAATAAGAGCAAAATTCAGATGCTGTTGCAAAAAAGCTGAATGACCAAAATTCAACGCCATTATAAAACTACATCCGCCCTTCGAACCGCCGTGTGGTAAAAGAATTTTCCTCAATATTACGAAGACATAGGTAATATATGAGTGTTTAAAAGTTGCGCTAATAGCAACGAATGATGTGGGAAGCAGATTTTTTTTTTGGCAGACATAAAAAAGGGACGTGTGTATCCCGCTGTCTCACAAAAGACGCTCAAGCTGCCGCATATATCAGGGGTTCTCAAAGTAGGTTCCGCGGAACACAAGGGTTCCCAGTAAGGGTTCACCTTTACTAAATGAAACGGAAGTGTTGTTGAGGCTCAAAAATAGGACCGCGCGGGAGATCGTTGAGGCCTTTTTGGTACATAAGTCCGCTGACGTATGTGTGGCGAGGTCATCGGTGAACCTATAGATAAAGTCGAGATAGATTATCTAACCGCCAATCTGTAATCATAAGCACGTGTATTTGCCTTATATGTGTGTTTTTTTTTCTGAAAATAAACTTGTTAGTCTGCGCGTTTCTGTGCTCCCTTCCTTCTTGTCCGCTTTTTTTTTGTGTGTGTGTGTGTGCAAAATGTCATTCACAATACCATGAACCATTGGCGTATGTGAAGGGGAGGGGGAGGGGGGGGGGCTTTGGGTGGATGAATCCTTGCGATCTTTCTTTCAAAGTTTTCCGCGTGTATACACACGCACATACGAACGTACACGCGAAAAGAGAGAAAGGGGGTTTAATGATAGAGGAATAGATAAAAAAAGACGCTATTTTCTGCCTCCCGTCGCGGGGGCACGGCTCAGCGCCTTTAGGGATGGGGGAGGAGGGAAGTAGAGATGATAGGAAGAAGAGAGGAGAGAAGGAAGAAGTGAAAGGTAAGGCAAGAGAACGTCTTGTCAGTACAGTCGGTAGTGCGATGCAAAATCGTTCGTCTATAAGGCGGCGTGGTCCGCACACGCACAGAACTCGAGCAAGGCTCGGGGGGTTTGTGCCTTTGAGTAGGCCTCCCTCTCAACCCCCCCCCCCCCCCCAAAAAAAAAAGAAAGAAAAGATCGGGCTACGCTCTTTACATGGACACCGCTTTCAAGGTAGAAATATATTCTGACCCGCAGGGCGCGGGTTCGAATCCGGGCTGCGGCGGCTGCATTTCCGATGGAGGCGGAAATGTTGTAGGCCCGTGTGCTCAGATTTGGGTGCATGTTAATGAACCCCGGGTGGTCGAAATTCTCGGAGCCCTCCACTACGGCGTCTCTCATAATCATGTGGTGGTTTTGGGACGTTAAACCCTACAAATCAATCAAATCAAGATAAAAAGATATTAACGGGCGCACACAGGACCTATACACTTCCGCCAATGTTCCTTTACGTTTGCGCAGAAATTTCACGTCGTCTTCCGTTAGTCATGCACACGAAGAATAGCCGTGAAATTTAAAGAAAGAAGACAAAGTTAACGCTGAACAGAAAATTATAACCGATGCCTAATACGTGTCGCAAGACAAGCGCTAAAGATTACGCGAAGCGCGTATGGGAAGCCTGCGCTACCCAGGTGGCGCGCTTAAAATTTGTGCGGCGCGCTTAAATTTTACGCGATGCGCCACACTGACGAACTGGATGAGAACCAGATTTTCGGACAGAGCCGCCGCGAAGAGCACTGAGGCACGTTTTAACGTGCCCTCGTGCACGTCGCACGCACTGAAACGCTTGATGAATTTCATACGACACACCCCTGCTTTGCCCGATGTGCGTCGTGTTAGGTACTTTGGAACGTGCAAGACCCGCGAATATTTGGACATTTCGCTGAAAAGTGCGACGCAGCGGGCGAGCAACGATACCAGCCGATTATTCTCCGCTACGGTTTCAGCGATGTGGTGCGCGCTGTCGGATACCATCGCGAGACTGTGTTGTCGAAAGAACAGAGGCTGTCCGAACGGCGTTGTACGTCTATGACGCGCAAGAAACAGTGTGACCTTTCGACGTATACTGTCAAGCATCGTACGGCGTAAAATTACAGGTAGGTGTGTTCAAATAGCGCTTGTGAAGCTCGACGTAGTGTGCACGTTGCTTATTGTATACGAGCCCGCTTTGAAATAAGATTAGTAGTTTGTCACTCAGTTCTGAGGTAGCGTTGGACCCAGTGAGAGCTGTTTTAAGCTAGAACATATCATTTACGTATACTATAGTTGGTAGTCATAGCCCTTCCACAATATATTACAAAAGCTGTTTCGTTGCACACTTTCCTTTACGGCGTGTTCAACGGCTATAGCGTGAACCCACAAAATGCTCGTATCGCATGCATTCTTTAAAATGAGTTTTTGAAGCTGACGTTGAATGGTGAAATGAATGTCTAAGGCAACCTTCACACGGAAGGCAAGTGTAAAGCGGAGATTAGTGGTGTTAGCGGAAATGCAGACGGGCCGCAGCGGTTGTGCTTTAACGAAGTCGACTCGCCGTCGTCTGCAGACCATTCGCAAGCTTGCGGTCGGCCGTCCTCCAAGCCTGATATTTAAAAAAAGTGCCTTTGAACAGCCTCGTGATTATTGACATTGTGGTGCACTGTTTCCGTAGTTGGCATGCAGTGTGGGGTCAGTAACGGAACATGCGTAGATCACCACTATTTTTGTAGCAGTCATCGTCTTGTAACCGGTCTGGAGATGTGCACGTGGCAGTCACATACAATACCGTATGTACTGGAATTTGACACGAGTTTTTTTTTTTTAGATGCGAAGCAGCTCTTCGACTAGCCGGCGTAACGCTGTCCCGTGCGTCTGTACAAACCACCTCGCCGCAGGTGTTGGAGCGGTGCCAAGTAGGTCAAGTCGCAGCTGCGCGTTGACGTCGCTTTCTCTCTCGCCCGCAGCAGCTGCCGGCCCCTCTACAAGCTCGCAACACACTTCTATCTCACTTCACCCGCAACGCTCGACCGCACGCTGAGTGGAAACACTATTTAGTTGCGCGTACGCAGCATCCATACGGATGCAGCCTGTCATTGAAAACAATGGCTAGCAGGCTGCGTCCGTGCGGCTGCTACGGACGCGCAAAGAAATCTGTCTACTCTTTCGGCTCGTTTATCTGCGATAAATCTTAGCCGAAGCCGAAGCCGCTTCCCGTGTCATTGCGTGTCAAACAAAGGTTCTCTAGATTACACCAAGTTTCGCTTCAAACCGTTCTTCAAGCACCCGTGTTGACGCCCGTTTCAACCGGGTCAACGCCGTGCGCACCGCGGCTGCTCCGCACCCTTCAGGGTTCCCTTCGGCGAGATAGTAGAGAGTTTTAGTACTGCGGAATGGTACTACGTACGCATCACGCAAGCGCCTTGCGTTGCGTGGCGGCGTTTGCCACTAATCAGCTTTTAGTACGCCGTAGTACCCGCGTACGTAACGAGTGTGAAGCGGGTTGCGCCATCTGGTAGATCAAAAGAGAAGCACGTGTTGTTGACAGCCAATGTGAGCCAATCCAAGTGTTATAGCCTGATTATGGCCATATTTTAAGCCACAGAGCCGGTCGGTGCTTGCCTTCGATGCCGCCATTTTGCAAAACGAAGTCTCGCGCTGTCGCGAACTTGTTCGAGAGCGGCGCGATCACCTCATACGTACGCACGCACGCATCTCATGCGTGCGTACGTAGCGGCTGCGTACGTAACGCGATACGTGCGCATGCGCACTACGCAGAACGTGGTGTCCTTACGTACGCAACGCAGCCACGTACGCTGCGTACGCAGTACTAAAACTCTCTAGTTTTTTTTTCTTTCCGACTTTTGCTACTAAAGCCGACCCTCTCATACCGGGTACCGATATTCTATTTTCTTTTCTTCCTAGACGTAATGAAATGTCACCCCTCGCGTTACAATCGTGGTCATGTTACAATCGAATAGATACGTTGTGTGTAATATACGGCGCGATTATTACGCAACCTAAGTTTTCATGTGCTTTCTTGAACATTTTCAAGGCAAACCTTTTAATTAAAATAATTCTGATATTTTTCAGAGCACAAACTCGCGTGCATCGATGGAAATCGATACCAGAGGGAGTCAAATATACATGGTCTGGGTTATTTTTTTTCTTATTAAAAACTTCTTGTGTTTGCGGCATTTGGGACTACAACAGTAACGCCGGTCTCGAAGCATCTTTTTTTTCGTCCGATCATCGCGCACGGTGGCATGGTTCACGTTAGTATTTGTTTGTACGCCCGAATGTTTCCGACCACGCTCGACTGGGTGGTGCTCCACGTACGCGGGAACTCCAGCGCTGGTTTCCCTATTATTAACCTTTAAGCCAGCGATAGGCGGCAGTTATTGGATAATAAGTTATCGGATAAGGTGGCAGTTATCGGATAAGTATGCAGTGCGTGTGGAGAGGAAGAAGAAACTGCCGAACACTTGATAATGTTCTGTAAAGGGCTTCACCCTATAGTTCAGGATGATGGCGCAGAGTTTTTCAAAGCGCTGGGGTTTAGGGACCGGAAGGGCAAAATAGACTTTAAGCGGGTAGACTTAACTAGAAGGAGGTTATCTGATTGGTGGCTAAAGTCAAAACACGAGTGAAAATTAAACTGTTCACTGCAAAGTACGAATCCTCAAACTCACTTTTTAAAGAAAAAAAATAAATCTAGTTTTCGGTTCATTAGGTATTACGGCTTGGTGGCGCTAGCCACCGCCCATTCTAAAGGGTACAGCCATATCCATCCATCCATCCATCCGTCAACGTTGGCCTCCTGGCGCGAGGGTCACACGTGCATACGTGTCGCTGACGTCTCTCGGATCTCATTTAGACCGCGTCGCATCGCACAGAGGATATAGATATGCAGCAGTAATAAAGTGCGAAACACCGAGCGATTTTATTAGCTTCGGCAATGAGTGCATGAGCTGGCGCGCCGTAGAAGGCCTGCCTGCAGGAGCTCCTGGAATGACGTGTCACTATCTGGGGCTTGACTCGCGTGAGTTCACTTGCTAGCTAGTCTGTCCTTGCGTAGCTCACGCTTCGTATTTCCTGGCATAGCCGAGCTAGGACAGCTAATTTTTTTTTGCCATGCCATACATACCTCGAAACGACACACGCACCACATGTGCCTGCCCGGGCCCCGCTTCAGGTGATGCGAGTGCCCCCCCCCCCCTCTTCCATCCGTGAAAAAGAAAAATCTGCCCGCGCTCCTGGCTTCATGATTTTGTCCATGTATCAGGGCCAGAGTGCTTCACTGACACCAAAAATCAATGAGTTATCAATGAGATAACAGTGGAGCCATAAGAAATGCAACTTCCCGATATTGCTGGTCCTCCAACATGGTGGCTTAGGTGACGTCAGAGCAGGCCATTTATACACTGCCGCGTATTGCATGTAGACACAGCGAGGCCCTTCAAGAAAATCGTCTACAATGGTCGTTTTTCACTATTATGACGTTTCATAGCACATCACGCAAAAGATGTATCGAAGAAAAAGAGTCTTACCGAGTCCGTAGTTGTCCTTTAAGTCAAGGTAGGCGTCGAAGGCTGCAATGACTCCGTTCTCCAGCTTGGCGAAGGCGTACACCAGGTGGGTGCACAGCGATGGGTCGATCTGGCCAACCGAGAACTTGCCGGCGCCACTGCGGTAGTGGGACCAGGTGCCCCAGTAGCAGAAGAACACGGGCCGTTCGCTGCTTGTGACATCTACGCGGTCGCGTAACGTAATTTATTTAGTCACTGCTTCACTGTTCAAGAACATACTCTTCCGAAGCTCCCGTGTGCTGTATCTTCTTTCGGAAAGTGTACTTGTCAAAAAAAAAAAAAACGTAGAGGTTTACATGTGAAGAAGGTTCAGCCACTGACGTTGCAAAAAAAGAGACTGGATATTGTAAAAATGTATTAACAACACGTGAAGTTGTATGGGATAGACTCATGATTGCAGCATAACTGGGAACGCGTCTCTACGTAATTGGTGAGCATACATCTAAAAATTTTGTGGCACAGCCATCTCTATATGTAATGCGCGTTTACTTCTGTATAATTTCGGAAACTCTCTTTGGATTCGATTTAGACTAGCTGGCTTAATTAAATGCGCAGTGGAAGCGTATTCAAATTCGTAGCTGTTATAGTTGCATATGTTCACGTTAACACACGTCGAAGGGTCTTCTTGTGTTACTTAAAAAAAAAGGAAATTGATTTTAAAAAAGCGGTCCGCGGGGGGGGGGGGGGTTGCAGTTTTTCTGGACTATCACTTACTTAAAGTGCTACTCGTCTCACTTATGATTGATTGTGATTGTACATGTGAGCGTGTGTGGTCTCGGCTTAGTGCTCATTATATAGCAACATCTTTACTGTGATCTGTCACATGAGCGGGGTACCATTCTGTCACAGATTTTGATAGGTTGCTTCTAATTCGTCCGACTGTGTGTCGCCGGCTGGTCGCGATGATGAGGCTCGAAAATGAAGTAGAGCGCGGTGGTACAGCATCGCTCTTAATCTGTTCATCCAGTAGTCTGTGTGTATGTGTATTGCACACAAAACCAAGATACATCAGAACCACGGTGTAAGAGTGATCAAAACGGAAACAAGAAAAAAGTGCCGCCATATCCACGAAGTGAATGATGATGAGTGGGCGAAGCTCCGGAGGTAAACCTGGTAAACCATGAATCCTCTGTACATTTTGCCCACTCGATTTTATTACATCGCTCCCCCTAGCGTACGTCGCCGCACTAAATCGAACGATTGCCTTCAACCAATGACACGCGCCATATGTGACATCATTCCTATTTTATAAGATCTCGCGTCTTTCATCAACTACAAGTACCGCTTTCTAATCAAGGTGGACGATTGGGCGAGTTGGTGATTCATGATCGACGTATGTAACTGCGCGGTAGTAAACACGGACGACAAGAAGATACAAGGACAAGCGCAGACTATCAACTGAAGGTTTATTTTTCACAAACCACATATATATGACTGAAACAGAAACAGAAAACACGAAAATCTACAAAAAATGATGACTTAGCACTTAACAATCGACAAAACGTGAACGTTTGAGAAAAGCAGATTCAAGGACCATGTGCGCCACTTGCCAGATACCGTAGCTCTTTATCTAAAAGAGCTAACGACGGTTTGCTGACGCAGTGTTCTGGTTCCCGTGCCATTTTTTCCGCTTCGACAATCATACGGGTATGATCGTCTTTGTGCCTGAACATTACGACCGTGCTTTCGAACTGCGCAAGGCAGCCACACCTACTGACGTGCTGAGCTAAAAAACCTTCATTGCCAGTGCGCACATTGCGTGCGTGCTCGCGCAGGCGCTCATTTAGGCATCTCCCAGTCTGCCCGATGTAACACGCACCACAAGATAGCGGAATTCTATAAACTACATTCATGTCACATCTGACAAACTGGGTTTTATGCCTGACAGTGCAAGCTTGTTTGGGCCTATTGTTTACACATGTCATTTTGGCTAGCTGAGAGAGCTTGTAAGGTGCCGAAAAAGCAGAGAGAGCACTAATGACAGAGACAAAAGCAAACGTGACAAAGTCGCGGTAATCCCTTACAAGCACCAGCTATCTCACAAGATAAAAAAGCTCGGACAGCGCATGGGCGTAAAGGTCGTTTTTTCGGCACCTTACAAGCTCTCTCAGCTAGCCAAAATGACATGTGTAAACAATAGGCCCAAACAAGCTTGCACTGTCAGGCATAAAACCCAGTTTGTCAGATGTGACATGAATGTAGTTTATAGAATTCCGCTATCTTGTGGTGCGTGTTACATCGGGCAGACTGGGAGATGCCTAAATGAGCGCCTGCGCGAGCACGCACGCAATGTGCGCACTGGCAATGAAGGTTTTTTAGCTCAGCACGTCAGTAGGTGTGGCTGCCTTGCGCAGTTCGAAAGCACGGTCGTAATGTTCAGGCACAAAGACGATCATACCCGTATGATTGTCGAAGCGGAAAAAATGGCACGGGAACCAGAACACTGCGTCAGCAAACCGTCGTTAGCTCTTTTAGATAAAGAGCTACGGTATCTGGCAAGTGGCGCACATGGTCCTTGAATCTGCTTTTCTCAAACGTTCACGTTTTGTCGATTGTTAAGTGCTAAGTCATCATTTTTTGTAGATTTTCGTGTTTTCTGTTTCTGTTTCAGTCATATATATGTGGTTTGTGAAAATTAAACCTTCAGTTGATAGTCTGCGCTTGTCCTTGTATCTTCTTGTCGTCCGTGTTTACTACCGCGCAGTTACATACGTCGACCGCTTTCTAGTTTATAAAATCTTGCATCTTTTCATCATCAGCTACAAGTACCACCATCTAGTAAACACTACAAGAACTAAACGAGAGGTGGCTACATACAGGAGACGGTACCGCCATCTAGTGAACACTGCAAGAACTAAACTAGAGGTGGCTACATACAGGGGACGGTACCGCCATCTAGTGAACACTGCAAGAACTAAACTAGAGGTGGCTACATACAGGGGACGCACAGCTCACGCCCTAAGGAGCTTCGCCCCTAAAAAAGTACCACTCTGTGTGGCGCCCTCAGCGTATACGTTAAAAAGCAGACGTGGTGGGAGTGCACCAACAGTGCGCTGAGAAGTGTTGGCCTTTGCAATTTATCTTTAACAGTGTCATTCGAGTTTCTATCGAATTGGTATTTGAGGCTATTCGCTAGGGGCTGGTGTGTTACTGCATCCTCATAGTACTCGTCACGAAGCTGCGCCGTAACTCGGCGGGAAATCTTTGCGCGCTGCAAACGGAGGTTGGCGGGGCGGCGGGGCGGCGCAGCGTCCTCGTCGGGGGCATCGGGCAGACGGCGGCCGCATACCGTGGCGTGTCACTGCGCGTTTTTCATCGTGTGTATAGTGTTGTGCGTGTTGTGTCCGAAGATCGAAAAGGGTGCCGCGTACAAGCTGCGCATCTAGGTGTCGATCCAATTAAGGGAAATGACGAAAAAGTATCTACGTTCTGGCTGTCTAGACAGCGAACGGTGGGGAAAGTGGAAGCGCGCTGTATACTGCGACAAGAAACGGGTGGTTTCACATTTGATCTCCTGGAAGTGCGTCTGTGCGAAAAGCACTTCGATGCGAGTGGGATATTTCGTGCGAACCATGCAGTGGCTAATCGGAGGAGTTGTTGTGAAGACGCCGCACGTTGTTCCAAAACTTTTGCCGGACGCTGTGCTGAGGATTTTTCCACGGCGGCGTATTTGTCTAGTGCAAAAAGGCCCTGACCTCGCCCTCCTTCCAGCCGTCACCGTGAACCGTCAGCTTAGCTCGAGCCTGTTGAGGAGGAGGAGGAAGGGAAGAAATGAAAGGCAGGGAGGTCAACCAGACGCACGTCCGGTTTGCTACCCTGCACTGGGGGAAGGGGTGAGGGGATTAAAGGAGAACAGAGAGAAGTGAAGGGCAACGTTTGTGTAGATGTGACCTTGTTCATTGCACGCAAGCCTGTTGAGGATGCATCGACATTGAGCATTAGCCGTTTTGACACACCTGCCGTGGATAAGACGCTGTTATTCAAGGCGAACGAACATCTGGCACCTGTTCCTCGTTGCATGCCATGGTAATAGAGAAGCTCGATGAGTGAAATGCTCGCCGTTGTCTTTTATACAGACACTGAGATAACCAAACGTGTAGAGGTGACACGCCAAACAGACGGAGCGACATACAGCGTGAAAAATTCAATGCACACATCCGTTGCTTCGGGACAGAGACCTCAGTGCTACCAATTGAAGCTTGCCAGGGTAACGGCGCAAGAGAGGATGCACCAAAAAAAAAAAAATTACTGTGCAAAACTTGCGGAAGCTGTAAAAGCGTGAAAAGAGTGCTTCATGATCATGAGGAGATATTTTTTTGCGTCACAAGTACAGCTGCCGCCGGCGTGGCAGGCAGTTGATCAATTTTCACGTTTGAGGAGGCTTGTAAAGATTTCCCCTTAACATTAAAAAAAAAACAATACAGAAGGACAGGGACAACAGAGCATGAGTAAGCTACACAGCAGGGGAAAAGATTGGAAACACATAGCATGACGAACCGGATCTTAAACGTAATATGGCACCGTATAGTGTTAACGCAAAACAAAACACGAAAACCAGAAAAAAAGCCGCATGAAGTGCTGCTTGATCTCCATCATTAGCTAAATTAAAAGCACTGATTCGTACAAAATGGCTGTAGTTCGATAAATATGAGGCTATTTTAAGATATGTATACATAGCCTGAAATATGGGATATGCGCTGTCAAGACTTGCAACCACTGCACTTCGGCGACGCGTCAAGATCCACCGGAGTCGTTGAAGAACTGTGGGTCGTCCATGGAAAAAGAGAAGCCTGCTTTTATATTGGTAGGATATCTTATAGTGGAATCAGCTTGCGTTGGTTGCCGCCGAATTTCTATCTTCGAGACCTCATATTCGCTGTATTAGAGCTTTCCCGTATTTCCTTGAAGGTATAGCATCATTCTGAAGACGTAATCAACCTTCACGGGTGCATTTAATCACTTTTCACAGTTCGGGCGCTTGCCGTACGATTGCAGCGCCGGCGCCGCTCCGATGCCCCCGCGCGGAAGAGGGCGGTTGTCCTGTCCTTATATCGAACTTTCGCCGATAGTTCATGACCAGCAATAGTATTGAATGAGGGCTCTGATAGCATGTATAACGTAAGTAAGATGGAGAGCTATGTACAAGTGCCTATATATATATGGCAACGACAAGAGAGCGTCAACCACTGGTGTCAGCCTTTCACTTGCCCTTGCTCCAGATCGCGCACTTGAAATTTCAATTGCACGTATAACAGTGCTCGCTGATTGCCGTGCAACCGTGCCCGTATACTTCGTAGTCTTGATAAGCATTTGAATACAGCTCATTATCAAGGCACACTTTCGTAACAGTTCCATGATATCGACTATACTTGCATTGATAGCACCTACTGCATCAGCTGTATCACGAGCGGAAAGGAGGGGTGGTAATTTTCCAACAAGAGGCTTAGATTTAGAGCACCCACTCGGTGCGTACGCAAACAGCCGGGTGCACAAAGAACCCGAGCGTGCTCAGAAAAGAGCGCAGTCAGGTTGCGGGGATTTGGCATATTCGGTGTGCCATCCCCTGGCTACGCTTCTGGGCATTAGGTGTACCCAGAAGTGCTTTGGGTATATACTGAAAGACACAATTACAATCATCGCAATAAGCTATTGGAAACGAATAATCTGAAGGGCACGACAAAAAAAAAAAAACAATAGGAGTAGATCGAAAAGAAAATCTATCTATACCAAAGTTGAACTGGGCCATGGTAGATCGTAGAAAGAGAGTAGTAGAGAGGAAAAGGCATGGAGTTTAGCAAGTTCGAAATAACATGTATATACCCTATAATGGGAAAAGGGTCAAGTGAGTTTGAAAGCTAAAGGTGTAAAGAGAGAGAGGGAGAGAGATCATTATACGAAACTGCACAGTCAGTCACCTCAAGCATTATGCGATGTTACTCGTCAGTCACGATAAACCGTATATATACAGCCATCTCTGCAAGTCTGTTGTCACCAAGAATTTCAACAGTAAGTACCTTTGTCGCCTCCGCTCAAGCTGACAGAGTTCAGCGGACGATGTGCAGAGCGAACGGGAGAAGTAATAAGAGGAAAGGAAGGGGAGTTAACCAGGCTGATGAATTTGGTTGGCTGCCCTGCTGAGAGAGCGAGAAAGAGAACTGAACGACGAGAATAACGAGAGAAGGTCGCAGTACTGAAGTACAGGGGAGCCGGCTAATCGTTTTACTTCCTCACTAGCGGTCATCTAGGCAGGTGATTATCAGGCGATTGGCCTTCTTAACCAATTCTGATACCACCGTTCACTGTGCACTCTACAAGACAAGTGAAAGATAGCCAAGCCGAGAGGTACCTCACGTCTGTGAGTGACTTTGCTGTTCGTGGCATACAAAAAAAAAATTGACGGCAGATCTACGAGGTGAATGATGATGAGATTGGGCGAAGCTCCTGGAAGTAATACCGTAAAATTTTCTACCGTTAATTCGCCCGATAAAACACGCCTGGCGTCTCTCGTTAAGCAGCTGGCGTCTTCTTTTTGTTTTGCTTTAGAAACATCTGGAGTCTGTTCGTTTTGCTTTTAGAAAACATCTGGCGTCTTTCGTTAGTTTATTTCATCAATCAACGGCGTTTTGAACAAAATTTTTTTATTGTTTAATCACGCACAGGAGAAATCTCACCAGGCACTACCTTGGAGGTAAATAATGGCTGCTACTGGAAATGAGAGACAGCAGAAGTCGGCTTTTAACACTTCTACTTCTACTAACGTCTCATACTGCAACATGCCAAAGGCTGCTAATGGGGAATAAGAGACAGGATCATTCGGGTTTTAGTTAACGCGCACGTCGCGAACTTTTTATTGTTCAAGAAAGCACAGGAGAAATATCCCACCGGCACCACCTTGCAGGTCAAAATGTAACACTTGTTACACACGTACGACTACGAGGGACGAACGGGTGCCGCTTTAAAGAGCTTCGTCCCTAAAAAAAGTAGAAGAGGACTTCACCTTTCGTAACTGATGACGTCTGCGCCAGGCATAGGGTGCTCGATGCGCAGAGCAAGGCGATGAAAAGAGCGACTCCTTTCATAACTGCACACAGTTATAGTTCATCGCACACAGCACGACAGCAAGGAAGTGACAGGCACCGGGTATATATACAGGACGTACGCTGCACGTAAACAGCCAACAATGTCGCACGTAAGAAGAATCCCTGCGGCCAAAATGGCGCGAGCCACGGCGTCCACAAAGATACCCCGGTGTAAAAAAAATCTCGCTGTCGTGAACGCCGAGTGCGGAACGGTCTCACTTATCGCCGACTATGAATTTCCGTGGAAGGGGGGACCCGTTATATGGCAGCCATATCTGGCCGACCTTCGCCTCATTATCTTTCCGGCGAGCAATTCGATGGCTTAGGTAACAACGGTGCGCCGGTCTTTACAGTTCCGCGCACTGCAGACCGAGGTTCAAGTCCACGCGTGGCGCTTTCTTCGCGGAGTTTTTGTCGCTTGTTTTATGATCATCGCTTCTTTTACGAGTCAACCCGCTCCCTAAAAAAAATGTAAAAGTAAGCGTTTGTCACTTAGCAAATGAATTCACAATGTCCTTATGGAACGCTTGAAGTTTGCAGCACGCACTTCTTCACCAACTGGGCCGTCTCCTCGACTTCGCGTCTCTTCTATGTCGAGCTTCTGAGGCGTAAGCAGCCAACTTTCGACACGAAGCGTCTATCCTTTGGCCTCGCCATTGAGCGTGGTTTGATATACTTAAGCACTACAGGTTTCTCCTTGTATGCACTTATAATGCTGAAATGCTACCACCATTGCTTTTAGTGCTACATGTTAAACAGTGACATTCTTCTTTTTTTTCTTTCAATGTTGAGTCTTCGCCGTACATCATCATACGAGCATGTAAAACGTGTCAGGCCACTTTGGTTGGCGGGATATATTAAAATCCCTCCAGTTTAGACAATTCGCCTAACACAATCGGTCCAGGCAGGAGGTTCTCCTTGAGACCTACGGACATCACGTATGAAACAGACGCTTTATGCAAAGTTCTTCGTTAACTATTTAGTCTAAACTTCAGCGTGTAGCATACGAGTCCTCCACAAAAAGAAGGCCCAGGCGTATACTAAGACAACAGGAACGGGCAGATCGACAGGTTAAACAGCAATAGCTTTGACAAATCCATATTGAACTCGTAGCGCAGAAGACTCAAAAACAAAAACGAGCAAGAATGGATTATCGCTCTATGAGTATGATGGTATCTGAATATAGCTGTAAATAATGAATGTGAATGTGTATACAAACTCGCCCAAACTTCAGTTCTTGTAAACTTTGAAAAAACCAACTTTGTTATTTGAAGCAACGATTACAAATAGGTAGTGCGTAGTGAAGTTGATGTATAGATCACCAAAAAAGTAATAATTCATATATATATATATATATATATATATATATAGGCAGGCATGGTGGTTGAGTGGCCGTAGCGTTGCATATAGTCTAGCTCACGGAGGATCTACTAGACTATTTATATATATATATACATATATCAGGGAATAATATAATATATTATTATATATATATATATATCAGGGAAGGCCGTGCCACGTTTCAGCCGTGGCACGGCCTTCCCTGACGAAGGCCGTGCCACGGCTGAAACGTTGGCATAAAAGTATTGCTCTTTCGTACGTGTACTCGCTTGTGTTCTTTATATATATATATATATATATATATATATATATATATATATATATATATATATATATATATATATATATATATATATATATATATATACAAACGAAAGCAAATAATTCTCGCATCTTGGAGGGCCTGTCACTTTATACTTCGAATGACTGAACACTTTCACAAGGTACAAAACAGAATGATGAACTCGCCGAGTTTGGTTGTGGTTAGAAGGAAGAAGAAAAAAAGCACCCAATTTCTGTCTGCCTCAGGGGCGACACGGCGCAGTGCCTTATAGGGGAGGGGGTAAGGAGGGATAAATAGAATAGAAGAAAAATAGATGAAGAAATAGACAGTTTGTGGAACAAGGCAGGCGTCGTAGCAGGAGGACCCATTAAAGTGGCATTACGGGTTCACTCACCCAACGACGAAGTTTGAGGCCGGGAGAAAAAAAAAAGGGGGGGGGGGGGGTATATCTGCATCACTTCCTAGATAAGTGTCTTTACTCGGCGCTCTTGGTAACCGGATCCGTTTATCTGCGTGCCCCGTTGTGCCGCGAGAAAGCGTGAAGTTGCCGAAGTACAGGAAATTGTTTACAGCCTGCAAACGAAGGCTACGTCGTCGTGCTTTCATCGTCGTGCTTTCGTCGTCGGTGACGGCCGGGTCATATGCGAACGCGCACTTTTGTGGCATTTGTTTGAGTTGTTTCCACACTGCCATATGGTGCACATGTAGTGATTTGGTTGTTTAAAGGGGTCGTGAAACGCTCGCTCTAAAGCGACAATGCGAAGCCACCGGCGTCCACACGAACTAACTAGGTGACGTCATCATAAGAAATTCTTCGCCTATCGAGGAACACGGATTTACACCCATCACGTGTGTGTTGTGAAATGAATGACGACGTGTCGACTGTTATGTACATACGAGCGAATGCATCTTATAATTATAAGGACCAGACGTGTGCTTTGTTGTTTTGTTGTTGTGTTTTGTGTTTGTTGTTTGTGTTTTGTTGTTTCCAGAGACTTCTTACAATGACTTTCAAACATTTACTTACCATTGTGATATGTACGTATAAGTGTGTCTTTGCATATCTGTGCCTGAGTTTTCTATTTTCCATGCACTGCTTTGTATGTTTTGCTTCAAGATACGTGTTCAAGTTTCAATCAACGGCTATAAAGGAGTAGCCGGCGCCAAAATGGTGCGCCAACATCTCCTTATATATCATATCAATAAAAAAAAGAAGAACGCGGAACTTTTCGGTACTTGCGTGCGTGCAACTGAGACACTCGTCAGCGTCTTTGTCGTACTCAATCAGCGCTAACTTGAACTCTGACGTCATATTAAGCAGCGTCCTTGTGGGACGCGGATCGCATATGGCAGACGCCGGTGAGCGCCTCTTGCGCGTGCTCGATATGCCATAGAGTTTCGCGTTCCCTGATGGGAAAAGCGTCTATGCAGGTCCACTCGGGCTGATGATACAGTTAGCGTACGTGGCTGCCGATGGTGCCGCGTTGTCGTTGTGAAGCGACCGTTTCACGACCCTTTTAAGTACGACGTTAAGTGCGCTGTCTGTTCAAGCACGTCCGTGAGTGACGTCACCAAACAAATGACCCCCCCCCCCCCCCCTCGTTGTCCCGGTTACGTGCGTTGCCTATCGTCGTTCACTCCTCGGATTTCTTCATCGTGCTCCAAGATTCTGCCTGTATAACTTTTAATAGTACTAACCTACATGAGCCCAAACTATAATTGATTGATATGTGGGGTTTAACGTCCCAAAACCACTATATGATTATGAGAGACGCCGTAGTGGAGGGCTCCGGAAATTTAGACCACCTGGGGTTCTTTAACGTGCACCCAAATCTGAGCACACGGGCCTACAACATTTCCGCCTCCATCGGAAATGCAGCCGCCGCAGCCGGGATGCCCAAACTATAGGAGGACAAGCTTGAGGAAAAGGTGGTTCGCAAAGCGGAAGAAACAGAACAAGCGTAAAGCCTATAGAAGCGGCAAATAGCGGAGTGCAAACTGGGATGCCTGAGATTGGGATGACTGCAGTAATGACATACTCCGGATTACTGGCCGTTCATTCGAAGAATCGCAATGGGGATCAAAATGAAGGGAGTACAATCGAAGGCAAAATAGATGCTGCGCTATAGGTGGCTGTATAAGGCGACAATATTTACAGACATCTACATATGTTAAGAGAGATGTTCGTGTTGCGATCGACACGTGATGATAACGACGCCATACACTCCCACTTAGAAGTATCGAATGATACGCTAATCTGTATTCAATAAGCTTTAAGGCACGTTATATAAGGAATAGCGGCGGAAAGAGACGTTCGTGGCAAGATATGTGATTTTTACGAACGCTTAATTCCTTTGAGACTACCGATTGTATTCCGTGATTATTCTTTTTATTGCATAGCTGCATCGCCCCATTGGGCATTACAGTAGGGTGGGGGGGGTTGCATACAAAAATATACAAAGTAAACACACTCACGAAGCTTAGTAAAATACATCGTTATGCGAAATGTTTACAACACCAGGTCATAGGGTATTTTATCATCCAATGGCTCGTGCAAAAAAAAAAAAAAAAACCTGAACACGTGACCCTTAAAAGGGAAATCGCGAACTTTCATCGCGTGGTTGCGTCTCGATGGTATCTAAGTGGGTAGCTTAATATACTCTTCTCGCTCAAAGCCGGTTTTAGAATACTATACAGCATGAAAAAAAAAATGAGTAAGGTTTTGCCGCCGATCTGGCAAAACCTGCCATGATAACTTACACTTGCTCTCCGTCATGCTTATTGTTCCGTAACTGTTGAGTACAAACCGAACCGCCTTATTTTGCACTTTTCAAGCTGCTGAGAACAACATACAATCAACCCGGTGTTTCTGATTGCAAATAATTTGACGGGTGTATTTTATAGAACGCCTATCGATACTATGAACGATCATTGGTGCTTTCGTTAATATTCTCGCCTCTGTTTGATTGCAACTCCTCTCAACATTTTCTGCTGTCCACCGTGGCGACGCTGTGCTGGAAAGTTACAGTGCACACCGGATGAACATTTACTGATCAGTAAAGAAACGAGAAAACTCGGTTTTGCTTTATCCGTGCTGACAGGATGCTTTGCGCTCCATTGTTTGTTGGGAAGACCATAACTTCACGAAACGCTTCGCTCAACGACAGTAATATGCGCCTCCACGGATGGCCGGAAACTACAGCATCAGCTGTAAATCCAATATTACAACACGCGAGTGTTATCGCGACCCGTTGCGAGGTCCACAGCACTTTATCAGCTCCGCTGATTATGTCTGGGTGCGTTCATTTCTTTAGGATATGACTAAATGACGCATAGTGGGCGCACCAAGGAGCGCATTCTATATACTGTGCAGTGGTGACGTTGATCTTTATGGTGGAACATTGCACATTCAACCAATACAAGGCACCCAACAATCTTCATCATGGCCGTACAGAACACACGAAGCTATTTGTTTTGTACGGAAGACAATGTATGGTTGCAGTATTTTGTAGCGGCAGCTCACACACGTTTACGTACACGTCTTTTAAAGGGGCCCTGCAACACTTCTTGAGCACGGTCAGAAAACGCTGCCGAT